CCGAGAGTTCCATTGCCATCAGGTCCCCTGGGTGCAAGAGCACCCACCAAAATCATAGCATCACGAAGGATGAGGATAGTGTCATCCACCTTAGATGGAAAGATCTTGCCACTAAGTGATGAGCGCTCACAACAACCAACACAACAATCGTCTCATATAACATCATGGAAGGCACATGCTTGGTAAGACTGAAATCCAGGCCCTTCGGGTACAGATAGTCTGTGGCACCTCTGGATTGGCCGAACCCCTCAAAGCCGTGCTGGCACCAGTGGTAGACAATGGCCGAAGTGCACGGGATGTTGCTTTCCAAAATATCCTCAGTCACACAGTCTCTCCATTCCTCAGTCACACAGTCTCTCCATTCACAGTCTCTAACATGTATTCTTGTGACAAGCCACATCCAGCCACATGTTGAACTTGGCACGCTGCATCTCGTGCGAGAGGAACTCGATCATACCTTAGATCTAACTGCCAGTTGGACTTCGACAGAGAGCAAACAGCAACTCGACTTGACAAGCTGCACTCCTCCCTCATGTCCGAAGGCTTTGTGCTTGGACTGTAAGACTGCAGGACTGTCGGGAACAGGGTCAATGCCGTCTTACCTCAGATTCCAAGCAGAAATTGACAATGACATGATATGATCAACAGACTCATATTTGCATACAAAAAACAGCGCATAGCAGTCTGGAGCATGTTCTGGTCCAATTCTATCGGGCCCCACTGGGTTTCCTTCTGCAAGACCATGGAGATCCACTTGAACTGGAAAGAAGGATCCACTTTCGGAATCTGCGTGGGAGTGGATCCATTCCTCATTACACACAATGATACAAATCACATACGCAAGCAAGTGTTCAAGAACATGACTGTGCATATCTTGAAATGAGAATCCTGAGATGCCACTGGAAATACTCCCAATCCAGAAGCCGGGTTGGAGGAGAGCTGGACCGCATGCCCAACAAAGCCTGTTCTGCACCTGTGCCATGGGAGATGCTGCTGAACACACACAGTGAATCTGAATCTGCTAGACTACGCTTGCCCATGTTCCTACCTGCTCTGTCTGCACCTCCATAGCCACCAGGGGTTGCATCCGGGGCCGACGGAGCAAACACATCATCATGAAGATCCAGCTCGGGCTCTGGTGGATCGAAGGATGTCAGGTGCAAAACCTGTCCTATGGTTGTCTCTCCCGACACCGGGCCTGCTGACTCTCGGACTGCTGGGACTGCAGACTGCGAGACAGCGGACTGCGAGACAGCGGACTGCGAGACAGCGGACTGTGAGACTGCAGCTGGCTGTGAGACTGCTGCAGACTGCGGGACTGTCTCGACTGGCTGTCCTCGGCACCTCAGTTCCACCTCAAGGGTATGACTTTCCCGCCCCGTCAACTCCAACAAGTAGTTGTCTCTCTTCTCCCGAAGGAGCGTTGATGCCACACTCCCTGTGGAGATAGGCTGATCGGCACCCCGGCCCTGCCGATGCAACACGAAAAGAATCATCTGGTGATTGTGAAGCTGCAAGAACCCGGAGAAGTCCCAGACCTTGGTATAGCCACAGGCACAGTCTTACAGTCCTACAGTTCACACATGACACATGCACAAAGAAGTCAAGGAACAGGGGTTGGGCCAGGGATTGCATCAGACCTTTTGGTCCCATCTTCGTGACTGCTTCCATAGATGGACACATAGTACGGCGACTGGTCGTTCAGGCGATCTTTGCACTTCTTGATCACAAACTCCACAGTGTAGTTATGCATGGAGGCCATCACACAAAGTGGGGGGCGAATTCACGCCCGAGACAGACTGTGTGACAGTAAGACTGCAACTGCACTGTAAGCAGAAGATGCTACGGTATGATGCACAAATGACAAAATCTCCTAGACCCAAACAAACCCAAAACCCTACGATTCCTAGTAAACTCTTGCACCTAATCTCCTAGACCCAAACAAACCCAAAACCCTACAATACCTAGTAAACTCTTGCACCTAATCTCCTAGACCCAAACAAACCCAAAACCCTACAATACCTAGTAAACTCTTGCACCTAAACTCCTAGACCCAAACAAACCCAAAACCCTACGATACCTAGTAAACTCTTGCACCTAAACTCCTAGACCCAAACAAACCCAAAACCGTATGATACCTAGTAAACTCTTGCACCTAAACTCCTAGACCCAAACAAACCCAAAACCCTACGATACCTAGTAAACTCTTGCACCTAAACTCCTAGACCCAAACAAACCCAAAACCCTACAATACCTAGTAAACTCTTGCACCTAAACTCCTAGACCCTAACAAACCCAAAACCCTACCAGACCTAATAAACTCTCACAAATTACACCTAATAAGCAACCCCAAAACCCTACAATACCTGCCTAACAAACTCTTACACCTAGATGGGAGTTTCCGAAAATTAGGGGTAGCTTACTTAGGGGTCCGGGTCCTTTAAGGATACTGTTATATTAGGGTACTATACAGGGATTCCCTAATTTTCGGAAACTCCCTCAAATTCAAACTAACTACTTTTAAACCCTTACACTTACTAAACCTAACCCCCCCAGCCCCCAACCCCAGCCTTGGAGGCTGGGGCAGCGGCGCCAGCAGCGGCACCAGCAGCGCCGATGTAGATGAAATGATGATGATGATGATGATGATGAAAGCCTGTGAGCCTGAAAGCCTGAGGAATTAAACCCCCAACTTTAACCCTTTAACCCTGGGGGTTTTAGAGGCTTTAGGGTATTAGGGTTTGAGGTATAAAGGTCTTAAAACCCTGGGGGTCTTGCTGTAGGGTTAGGGGCTTTAAGGTTTCAGGTTTTAAAAACCCTGGGGGTCTTACTGTAGGGTTAGGGGCTTTAGGGTTTTAGGTTTTAAAACCCCCAACTTAAACCCTAATGGACTTAAAAACCTTTAGGTTTGGCCTTTAGGGTTTGGGGTTTTAAGCTTAGAAGTGGTATCCTAGTTAGGTTTGCTTGGTATCCTAGTTCTTCTGCCTACTCCTTTTTTGTGATAGCAAAAATGGGTTTTGGGCACTTTGGCCAAGAAGTCAAAAAACCATCCGTGGTTTTGAGAGTTTGGCTCTGACTTTAAAGGTGGTGTTGACTGTTCGGTCTCGCAGTCACAGCAGCAGACGTGCTTCTGAGAGACTTGACCTGAGACCCCAAGGTTTTGAGGCTGTGTTGACTGTTTGGACCCAAAGTCAAAGTAGCAGACGTGGTTCTGGGAGACTTGACCTGACAGGCGAAGGTTTTGAGGTGGTGTTGACTGTCTGGATTCGCAGTCGCAGTAGCAGACGTGTTTCGGGGAGACTTGACTTTGGAGTCCAAAGTCAAAGTAGCAGACATGGTTATGGGAGACTTGACCTTAGAGGACAAGGTTTTGAGGCGGTGCTGACTGTTTGGACCCAAAGGCAACCTAGCAGACGTGGTTCTGGGAGACTTGACCTGACAGAAAAAGGTTTTGAGGTGGTGTTGACTGCCTGGATTCGCAGTCGCAGTAGCAGCGTATTTCGGGGAGACTTGACCTTGGAGTCCAAAGTCAAAGTGGCAGACGTGGTTCTGGGAGATTTGACCTTGGAGGCAGGTTTTAAGGCACAAATGTGGTGTTTGGAGGCCTGCCTTCCAGGCAAGGGGCTTGGCAACCAAGTCAGGGTGTGCGCCGCTCCAGGCGCCACGCCTTCAGAAAGGTGCGCCAAAGGAGCCGGCGGAGCGGTTTTGGGTGCGCTTGCCAGCGAAAAAGGGGGCGTGGCATCTGGAGCGGCGCGGCGTTTTAAGTGGTTAAATTTTTCGCGCGCGACGCCGCGCCCGCCTAAAATATCAATATTGGTGTGGTATTTGTCGTTGCAGCTGATCAATGAATAAAGATGAAAACTGAGTCCATGGCATTGTTTGTTTGGTTGGCATTCGAGCCTTCAGCGCTGCTCTTGCCTTCAAGTTGCACAAGCCAACCTTCGGATCTATGTCCTGCAGGTTGTCGTCCTCCTCTACGCCGGCCGCAAGCACAGCCCTGCGCCCATCTTGCCCTACAACGCCGTCTCCGCCGACTGACAAGCTCTCTGAGTTCTCACGCGAGTCTTCTTTTTGTCTCACAGCCAGTTGGCCGCCTTGGCCAGCTCAGAAGACCGGACGCCCGCTCCCGGGAATGCTAAAACCCTCAGCCAGCAGGGTCGAGCCTTGCCAATTGCCTCAAACACTCTGCGGTGTGATTTGCAGCCGGTTGCTGCCTCAGCATGTGCCTTAATTCTGGACGAATGCACGCCTTTTCGCTCGTCTTCTCACAAAAACTAGCCGGGGGTATTTTCCGACATGACCGATCATGCCGTTTTGCATCGGTCAGCCTTCGGTTAGCCGCCAGCCTACAGATCCAACACGGTTGAAAAGAGAGCTGAAGTGCTAGAGCAGTGCAAGCCTATATACCTAAAACAATCCATTTTCACCCTCAAGCCCTAAACCCTAAACCCCAAATCCATTAAGCAGACGGCCCAGGTGGGAAGCGTAATGAACCGGAAAGATTGTAAAAGGTTTCGTTTTGACCGCTGCGCACCTGGCACATTCTGCAACAGTCCATTCCAAAAGACGTGCATCGTTGCCATCGGTTCAGACCTTGCGCATGCACCGACAATTTGAGGTGTTTTGTTAACTGCCGGGATCGAAAACAAATCCTTGAGCCATCAGTTGGGAAAGGTCAGCTGAATGTTGGCTACATGGACATTGGCAATAGATTCAATGCGTGGCATAGTTTTGCAAGTTGGAATTCGGATTTGTTTACAAATGGTTCGAAGGAGGCCAGATGCGGGGCAGGGCATGCAGCTTTATACTATATGTTTTTTTTTCTGACTTGCGCGCAGGCAAACCCCCAGCACGCCGGACACCAATGCTTTGTCGTTGATTTCTTGAGGAGCTGGTTGCCACCAGTCGCCAACGTCGTTTGCAAAGACATTTTTTGACAACAGATTCTGTAGCAGGGTTGTTCGATTCTTTTTCATACAACGGCATGGTTGACAACAGTCATGTTTTGTTTGCTGCTCAGGTGCTGGCACTATTTGACCATCTTGATCGCAATGTCGGGGCCTCGAGCCAGTGCTAAGGTGTGCGTGAAGGCAAGGCATTCCTGCAAGCTTGGCTTTTTGAGGCTGGGCGCAAGCAAGGCGCGTAATGCACATGCTTGAAAATCAGTGGGTGTTTTGTTTGAAACTTCGTCTATGGTCTCGACAGGCACTCATTCCAACTGTGTCTTTGGCAAATGGTGCAGCAATGCAAAGATTGGCATTGGGGCTGTACAATGTCCCCCGAGATCAAGTGAAGGCCATGATTTACATGTTGGCGGGCCGTACATGTCTTATGCAAACGGCAGCAGGGCATTGTCGGTTCAGACATCACCTTGACCATGCAGGTTGTCATCGATGCGGGCTTGAAGGCAGGCTTGCGTCACTTTGATTTCGCTTCATTCTACAACAACGAGGCCGGTCTTCAAGTCTTTGCGAGAGCGTTGCTAGCTGTTGGCTCAGCTGGCCGTCCAAGGCGGAATGCGGTGCAGCGCTTCGCCAGTGGCTCAAAGAAGGTTGCTTGGGTTCGGTTCCTTCACGAGTGCCAGAGTCCACACAAGTGGAATCATTTCGTGTGTTGTTTTACGGCAGTTCCGAATCCACAGGATTGTTTGATTACTTGTTTTCATGTGCCGTTTCTTGATGTGCTGTCACGTATGCTAAACTTTCGAGCCCATCAGGACTTAAGAGCTTGAAGCATTTCTTGTCTCTTGCCCTTGCCGGGGTGTGCAAGCATTTGGCTCGGCAGGCCACAGCAGATCCGAGCTTTTCATCACGACGAAGGCTTGGAGCTCCTTTAACCCACCATTGACCATGCTTGTGCAAATGCGTCGGCTGGGCCCTTCCTCAGGTTTGGACAACTGACCTCGGGGATCCTTCGTCTGCTCTTCGCAGTGCCGACGCTTCGTGGGCATTTCACGGACCTGAAACCTGTCCATACCTCTCCTCTTCGTGACAGTTGGCAGTCTTCGGTCGGATCTGCGTGGGCTCAGGAGATCTCCATCGACGAGTTGGGCCTCGGGGCAGTAGACCTTGCCTGGAACCCGGTTCGGCAGTCAGCGGAGAGCATTCTCAACTGGACTCGCATGGAGCAGGAGCATGGCATGCTTCAGGTAATGGTGCACTGGCCCATGCCCGGCAAGCACGTCGCTGCCTACCTTGCTCTCGAGGATGCTTACCAATTCGTTGACCGAGTTTGGAGGGGTGCGGTTGTCTCTTGCAGGAGCTGGTGAGGAGTGGTAAAGCAAAAGCATTAGGCAGCGTGCTTCTTACCTGCGGGGTGATGCAAGTACCTTCGTGCACAAGTCGTCTCTTGCTTTTACGTATTTCTGGTCTACTTGCCCCAGAGTATATTGTGCAATGAAAGTAGCGACAGGCATCTCAAACTACTCCCCTGCAGACTACCAACAGCTCATGGAGTCCGCATCGCTCGCACCGCACCTCGGTTCAGCTTAGTAACTAAGTAGCGAGCGGCGCCACTGTTTCTTTTTGTGAAATCTTGCTTTGGTTGACCACCGAGGCTCGTCAACACATTCGAGAACAATCCCCTGCTCTATCGCAAGGAGTGGTGCGACTTTTTCCAAGATCAAGGTGTGGTGGTCCAGGCCATGCCCTTCAGGGGCTGCACACCGGCCTACCAGTCCGACATGTTCCCTGGCTTTGGGAGGCCTACAAGCCCCTGCAGCGAGGAGGACCTCCCGGGCTGAGCAGTGGTCCAATGTCCCCAGACGTGATGTCTCTTTCATCTGTGCAGTCAACCATCGCCATTGTCACCATTGAAAGCGGATTTCATCATTGGTTCGTGTCTGAAGCAGCCCCTCCACACTTTTTCAGGGCCTGTGCTGAGCTGCGACGCCGTGCGGGCCATCGCCGAGCGCTGTGGCCGGAGCCCGGCTCAGGTCTGCCTGCGCTGGAACCTCGAGAAAGGCGCCTGGGCCCGGTCCTGTCCTTCACCGTGCATCAATATATTACATGTATGTGTGTATGCGCATACTTATGTTTGTATTTCCATTCGAATCTATGGCTATTTTAGATCCATGACAAGCCAAAGCCATGTCGGCCCCGAGTCAGAAGTAAGTTAAACAGACGGCCGATGACGTGAGGCAATGCCATCGTTTTCAAGAGCCTCACACCTTCCCGGATCGAGGAGAACGCCTGGGACTTGGTTGTGGCCCGCTGTGAGCCTCTTTGCATCTCCGAGCCCGGAAGCCGAGGTCGACGTTTTCGACTTCTCCCTTGCCGCCGACGAGGTGGCCGCGCTGGATGCGCTGACCACCGAGGAGGTGCGGGCGGAGGCACAGAGCGCGGATCCCGGCCGGGGCGAAGATTTCAGCGCTTCCCAGCGTTTCCATGCATATGCGAGCCGAGGCCACTGGGAGCAGCGCCGCAGCGGAACGGATGCGCCCTGGGGCCCGGGTTTGCGGCCCGAGAAGCGGACGGTGCAGGAGGCCTCGGGGTCGTGTCGGTTTATCGTGGTATCCTGGTATACGTTCTGGCGGCTTCCAGATTCGGTATGGGGGCCTTAATGCTCTTTCTTTTTATACTTATCGTGCACGTCCATGATTGGCCTTTTGACCAGTGACGCGAGGCCTGAGGCGTGGTCTGGACAAGAGGCCTGCACGATCGGAAAAAGCGAACGGTAGCATGCAATTGTGCAACTGTTTGCTTTCATTGTCATGTCTGTAGTGATTTGTAGTGGTATTCATGATGATCTGTGACCACGAAATCATGCTCTTTCCTTGCTGTAGCAGCTAGCATCAGCAAACCCATGTTTGATCACAAAGCTTCACGCCGTCTGGACGGCAACAGTCAGCATAGTACAGGCTCATAGATTGCATGATTGAAGTAGGGCAAGATCCAAGAAGAGTCTTCCCTGACACTGCCCGCTCGATGGTCCGACGAAGAGCCCCACCAAGTCCTGGGATCCCACCCCTAGAAGACAGGGTGTCTGCGTCTGGTGGAGCTTCATGGCCGTCGCGGCCTGCCTTGCGCGTTTCCGCGAGGCAAGGATTCGACCTGCGCAGCGGAAAACGTATGGAAGCTTGTGCGGCTCTGTGCAGGACTATGACCGTCGAACCAGGGGCGTTGCCCAGGCGACAGACCCGAAGAGATTTCATATTCTGCCGTGTTGCAGTCCTATGTAAGGATCCACATCAGCTTCACAGAGCCTTCGAAGCGCAACAGGCCTGCCGCTTTTTCGTTGCCTACTTGGGCGCCTCGGATTGCGTAGGGGCTCTATAGACTTTGGTTGGGAGGCCGCGCTTCAAAGGCTGCGAGACAGGGACGAACAGAGGCGCCTGTCGGCAGCTGCTCGCTGTCGCTCCTCGCTGTGTGACTAGTAGCTAGAAGCCATCAAAGTGCACAGGAGCCGCCAAAGTCGGACACCTGGGAGCATCCAGTCACGAGGCATGATCTGAGAGACACCCCAGGCCTCCAGTGATTCTGGTCAGCAACACGTTCTTTGCAAGAGCCTCATCATTGTGGGCATGTACTTGCGCACTTCCAAGGTGTCAAGTCGACACCAGAAGGCGAGCTGCAGTCTGTTCTGTCGGGAGTCTCAGCTCCTTTGCGCTTTTTGACTGCGAGCTTTGCTCTTTTTTCCTTCTCCGACCGAGACCGAGGGATGCCCCAAGCCCCAGGGGCCCCGAGAGCGGCCCGGCCTCGCAGATCTCCTTCAAGAGCAAGGCAGGGATCCCAGATGAATGAACCCTCAACGTCCCCCCTAAGCCCCACAGTAGCCTATAGACTTGATCCTCATGAATCCTGCATCCGTGCATCTCCGTGACTTTCAAGGAAGACCTTGACTTGATGCGGAGGGAGATGCGCGAAATACAGCGACTGCTGGAGTCTCAATGGGGCGAGGGCCAGGAAGCTTAGGCTTCACAGAATTTCGCAGAGATTCGGAAGGGAACGCACGCCTGTTCTTGCCTGCCGCAGCTGAGAGAGAGGATCTTCCGATCATCTCCCTATGGTTTTCATGCCTGATCACCGTACCGTGTGACCAAGTGTGCGCCCTGCTAACGGCAGCAAACTCCGCCAAACTCAACTGAACCAGGTAGAAACAGGGCCTGAAGAGGCGCCAAGCGCCTAGCAACAAGCGATCGAAGAACCAGGGAGCAGCTCTTGAGCCCATGCCGGCTGCCGGCATGGTACCTCTGCCGTCATGGGCAAGCACCGCGAGAAGGACGTTTGTGATCCTTCGAAGGGAGCATGGGAGCCCTGGGACACCCCATTTTCGAAACCCCCAGCTGAGTGAGTCTTGCAGGAGGGGAAGAAGAAGCGAAAGCGAAAGCATGGCTCCAGCTCGGCCAGCTCGGCAAGCGGCCGGGCCGGATCCCGGCGTTTGCACCCGCAGGGCTGCCCCACTGCACTAGCGATGTCCAAGGGACGGTCGTGGCGCTGGGCCTTTTTGGCACATGTCATGCCAAGGTCTTGTGGTGCCACCTCTGGCAGCTGTGACGCTGAACTTAAACAAGGCGTTGCGATCCAGGGATGGCGTGATGACACGGTGCCTGGAGCCGCATGCATGCAGAAACGTTGCCGCACCTGTGGTTCCGGAGATGTTGTCCTCACATGTGTCATGTTTTTCAGTTTCGCAGGGTGGACTGGCTGATTGTACTGGAAGAAATGCAATAGATATATTCACATCATATGAGTTCTGTTTAGAGAAGGCCACACAAAGCCATGGTTGCACAAAGTGGGCAGAGGTTGCCCGTGCTGGGCCGATGGATGGTCGTGGCGTTGGCCGTGGGACTGGTGACCTTGGCCATGGTGGGTCATGCAGGGCCAGGCCGAGGTTTCCTCGAAAACCTCTCGCCGGGCCGTGTGCGAAGCCTGGCGGCCTCAAAGAGAAGCCTGACTCTGGCTCGCAGGGCACGCGTGGACGGCCAGTACGGTGTGTTGCCAGAGCCGCCCTCCCCGCTCATCGAGTTGGAGGAGAAGGATCCCGTGCTAGAGGCCCTGATCACTGTGGTCCAGGCAGCGGACAAAAAGCGTGGTGTGGACATTAGTGCCTTTTGGGTCAAGGAGGGCTTCGAGATGATCGTGATGATCACGGCCCTGTCCCGCCCTCAGCTTCAAGCCATCGCCGGAGAGATCGAGAACAAGATGCGACACGAGTTACGCATGAAGCGCCGAAAAAGCCAGTGGCCAGGGCAGACCATCCGAGACGAGGCGGCAAACGGATGGTGCTGCATGGTGTATCCCCGCATGACCATCAACATCATGACCCCGGTTCAGCGCTCGTACTATGATATCGAGAGCATTTGGAGGGATGACAACGAGGATTATGAAAAAGTCCCGCTGCAGGAGGTACTTAGAGAAGAAGGCTTTGGTAATCTCAGGGTGACTAAGGGGCTCAAAGATCCAAACGACATTACCCCACAGAGGGCAGAAGATGCGGAAATCCCACCTTCTGAGTACGAGCCATTTGACGACGATGAAGACCTTTACGAAGAAGACGAGGATGATCCTTTCTGGTCTTGAGACCGGTGCTTGCAGAATAGGCGAGGCCGCCGTACTGCATCTAATGCCGGTCTGCTTGTTCTTCTCACCTCCAGTCCCGTGGCTCTGCAATGCCAGAGGCAGATCAGCGCGTGGAGGGCAGCCTTGTGGCTCGTTTTGGAAGGCGTGTGCTCAGAGGAAGGGAGACTAAAAGACGCGCTGTACCCGAAGAGCCAACGTCAAAGTGGCCGGAGCCTCCCGTCCGACAGAGTTCCACAGCCAAGGAGCGGGATCTTGCCGCCAGCCTTCCCGCCATTCTTGCTGCCGCCGCAGTGCTTTGGCAAAGAAGAGATGCTGGGAAGCCAGAGACCACAGCATGCGATGTGCAGTGGAGCTCCAGGTGGGCGGCTTTCATGCCTTCCGCCCACAGGCGGGCTCTTCATTCAGTCAGCATTGTAGGCTTCCCAGCCGTGGTCTCCCCTTCAGGGGCAAGAAGAAGAAAAAGAAGCGGAAGCGGGAAGAAAGTAGCAGCAGCAGCCGCGGTGGCGTTGCTGTTGCTCGGCCGAGAGAAGAGTGTCGAGCTCGATCAATTCTTCCATTCAGATCTCTTTCGAGTGAACTTCCGAAGCATGGAACCACGCGGAAATCTCACAACTTCTCATAGTAACAAGCAGTCCGATGCACTACAGGCATGAGTTGCGCGAGTGCCCGCGACAGAAGCGTGAGTGATGCTTGTGGCTGACTAGCGAACATCGCTGCATTTGCACGTGGTGGGGCCAGTCTATTGCAGGATAGTTTGTGTTTGCGCAAGAGATCGATGCCTGCAGTTCCGAGGAAGGCACCGCTGCCTCCAATGATCAGGCTGGGGATCGCCTTGCAAAATCAGTGTAAAGATGTTCATAAGGCCAGGGACATATAGGTGAGTGTATATACATATGTATGTACATGTATATGCTCTGTATCTCTCTCTCTCTCTCTATATATATATATATATAGATGTATGTAAATACATACGTACACGTAGATAAAAGACATACTTAAGCAACTACAAGCGTACATGCCTGCATTCATGTATGCATGTGTGCACTGTCTGTACGTATGTATGTATGTATGTATGGATGTATGTGCATCATGTTATGTTTCGGAGGTGCTGCCTGCCTCTGACACAAAGGACTGCCTTCTGTGTTCGAGAGTAGCTCAACGGAGAAGGCTTTCAGTGTTTACGGTCCCGACAGGACACTGTCAGCGGCGCGGCGGCTGCGGATCCAAATGTCCAACCCTCAGAAAGAGCCGCAATGAACACGACCCATGTGACCCATGTGGGTTGTGGGTGTGCAGCAGCCTTGTGAGCGCCATCGAAGGAGATGACCGCCCTGGATGCCCTTATTGCGGGCTCCATCGAGTTACCGGAGGCTTTCGCCCGCTAGAGCAGCGGGTGCTTCGCTTGCTGGCGTAGCTTCAGTAGCTCAGGCAGGCCAGACGAGCCGCAGCCACGGTTGGGACGGTGAGGCCTCAACCAAGGACGCTCTCTTTCTCTCTCCCTCTATCTCTATCTCTCTGTCTCTCTCTTTTTCTCTACCTGTTTATTACATTGCTGTGAACACAGTATGAGCAGCGGATGGTAGAGTCGGTTTTGGATCTCGGGGACGATCTCGTCTCGCGTTGAAGTCCGGGAGCCTGTAGGTGTTCCATCTTACAACGACTCACGACTTGAGGTTTCCGTCCTTGACAGGGGAAGAAAAATGCTGGTATCAGTAGGTACATGTGGGTGACGAGTACAGCATCCCCTTGCATGGAATGGCTGCAGGAGAAGAAGGAGGAGGTGCAGACGGCAAAGAGCGCTTCAGGCAGGAGACGTTGCTCTTGGCGTTGTTTGTATGTTGTAGTTCCCCTTGACAACTATATGTATATGAACATATACAATGTGTTGTGACACTTTCTGGTATATCATGATATGTTGTTCGTTATGGTGCTATCACATGTTGTGTCTGTTATCGTATGTCACAGAATATGTTTTCGCGCCTTTTGCAATCGGATCAGGGCCAGATCTGGACCTCACGGAGGCGGGAAAATTTCTGAACCTGCGCATTGCTTCGCACTTGCTGTAAATCATCACCATCCACAGTCTCATCGTTGTTATCATAGGATAATGCGAACCATTGCTGTTGTTAAAAATGCACTGTGCCACGAGACAGGAGCCCCGTTCCAAGACCGGTCTAAAGCTCATCGGCGAAGAAGCTCCTCCGAGCTTTGGCCGCAGTAGGGGTGGCTTTGCTAAGACAAAGCAAATGGTTTCCGAAAATCGGGGGCCCTAATACAGTACCCCACCAAATGGTAGGATCTTTTTTGTAGGCAGGATGAAAGGGGTTCTGTGGAGATGATAGCATTGTTGGCTGACGGTCGAGCAAGCCTCATTTGAATTGGCTACCAACAACTTCAAACAGAGGCTGCAAAATCCTTTGAGATGCATATGTGTCTGCGTGCGGCAATTTAGTGGAGATTGGGGTCGTTACCTCAGGACGCTGCCCTGGCAGTACGTCTTGGCCCAAGATTTCTTGACGCAAATTCAAAGCACCACAGCATCCACTGACGGCATGCTTTCCTGCTCAGGTGTTGAAGGACGAGACGCGTCGTTGCTTCGTTGGATTCCTGCCTCGGACACTAGGTGGGCAGGAGTCGCAGAATGCCGCTTCGGAGATGTGGTCGTCTGTGCTCGTGGGATCTGTCAGGCAAAGAAGTCTGTGCCAGCTTTTTCGAGAAGGCCCTCCAAGGTGCCGAATGGATACAACCAGCGGGCCCCAACGGGCCCATCCCAAGAAAGACAGCGTGGATGGTCTTCTTTGAGTGCGACTGTGCCTATCGCCTGGTGCCCGGACAAGAGGCTGTCGGATCTGCTTTGCAGTTGCCGGCGCCGACTCTGAGGTTACGGTCGCATCGAGGTGAAGCCCCAGCAGTATCCCCAGTGGATGTGCACCCTGATGCACTGGGTGATGCCGGGAGCCCAGAGCCTCAAAAGAGAGCTGCGCCCCTTTCAATCTACGCCTCCACCAAACTAAGCCCTGAAAACAAAGAATGCTTAAACCCTAAACCCTGAACCCTAAACCCTAAACCTCAACCCTGAGCCCAAAAAGAAAACACCCGGGCCCCGGCGTGGCTTTCTTTCGGGAGGCCCTGCTGCGGCATCAACGAGCAAAAGGCCGGCTTGCACTGTCAACGTCAAGGGTCCTGATCTCTCCCAAAGTGGGGGTTCCTTTAAAGTACCCTTAGTAGTATAGGGCCCCAAATTGTATTAAATTAGGGGTCCTTATAAGAAGGATTCTCTTTTTAAATCAATTTGGGTGTTTTGATGCCAATCCGAAATGCGGGACTTTTTGAAGAAAGAGGTGGTTTTTGTTTCCTCCATCCAGGATTGGCCGAACAGCTGCAACCTGAATCTCTATGAAAGTGGAGGCGCGCGGCTGGCATAAACTCCGGGCGCAGGGGGGCAGTGCTTGCGGCGAGGTATGTCCGTCGGCTGGCACGCGGATGATGAGCAGCTCTTTCAGGGGAAGTCCTGACCCCGGCATTAGTTCAGCTCGGCCTGGGCGAAGACTTCACCAATCAGAGGCAGCGGGACTGCCGCATCATCTCCCTGTCGCTGGGGGCCACCCGCGCCTTCGAGGTCCGATCGAACTGGCGCGGGCCCCGGGCCCCCGCCGGACCCAGGAGCGATGTCAGAGCGGCGCGGATCCTAATGCTTGACAGGTCGGAGCTCGATTCCACCGTGCGCCTGGAGCTCGGGGACGGGGACCTTTGCACCATGGCCACTTGGCCGCACCGGGACTGTCAGCACGACATGCGAAACGTGAAGTCTCCACACGGCGATTGGGTTCGAGGAGGGTTTGGTCCAGAAGCACTTCCAGCACCGCGTACCGCGCGAGGACAAGGTGAAGTCATGTGTGAAGTCCAGGAGCCGATTGGACCCAGGTTGGATCTCGAGTCACTCGCCAGGTCACGGGGCCTCGCATCAACCTGACGTGGCGCTGGATCGCACTTTGCCCGCAGTGTGGATGTTTCATACAGGTAGCCCAGCAGTCGCTGCACAGCTAGCCGACGATGTTGCCAGCGCAGGTCAGGCATGCGCCGCACTGTCCACATGCTCGACATCGATGACAAAAAGTGCGTGTGCGTGTGACTGTGTGTGACATGCCTAGGGTAAGCGCGGGAGTGTAGGTGCAGAGCAAGGTTTTTGTGCGGCTGAGCTGAACCATGCTGTACCTATGCGCTTATCTGATTCTGAGGAAGATGCGCGAAACAGCGCGTGCTCGCGCAGAGATGGAAGTGGCCGTAGCCCCAGCCTGTGTGATATTGATCAAGGGCACTTCTCCACGGCAAGTCTTATAGGCTTGCCGTCAGCTAAAGCGTCGTCTGTTCGTTCTGGCGAGGACTGCCCTCTTTTTCTCTCGCAAAGAATGCGGAGAATGCTGGCGTCCATTCTTAATGTTCCCATATCGGAGCCCGTCTGCAGCTGAGCGTCAAGCTGTGTTTTATGCCAAATTCAGCTGTTTGATTCGTGATACAGCGTTTTCTTCAGGCAGGGGAGAGGGAGTTCGACTCCTCTGCGGTGGAGGACTGTGCAATCATGGCGAAGAGTTCGCCGAGGGAGGGATCTGGGCTCCAGGAGAGCGTCGCCAAAGCCATTGCAGCGCTAACCTTCAATCACAACCTGCCTCCGTCATACGTCCAGTGCGCAGTGGTTGCAATCCAAAGCGCCGCTCTGGGACAATCTTGGTGATTGCTTGGAGGTACTTCCTGAGTCAAGAGCCGCAGCTGTGGAAAGCACAGCAGGACCGGTGACAGGGCGTCCCTTGTTATGCTGTCGGGGTGCAGCAATTATGCTAATCTCAACCCGAGCAACCCGAGCTCTTCGTGGGAGAAGAGTGGCGCCATTGACAGCTTTTGACAGCTTCATGTCGAAACATCATGCTTGAGAAAGCACTGCTGCGAGCACATTCGTACATGTTCGAAGGCACCAAGCGTACATATGTACCTTTGGAGCAGGTCCAGTTCTTTACTTGTACCTGCAGACTCACAGACTGGCCGTTGACCGCCGGTTGTGAAGTAAACTGCTAGTAGTAAGTCTGCCAACATGCAAGACACTCTTCACAGACAGCTCCTTCAGAGTTCTTCACAGACTTGAGCTTGGAGTTGCTCCGTGAGTTGCACAGGGCCGCGCAAAACAAGCCGCATGCCAACTTTCCTTCGTCCCTTTAAACCCAAAAGTCAAAGACAAGACAAAGTCACCAGCCGACGACAAAGCGCGGTGCCATCAATGCTTCGCAGTCTCCGCAGGACTCTGATCACGAGCACGTCTACCGTCCTAGCCTTGTTCAGGTCACTGAAACGCGTGGCTGAGCCTACAAAACCAAGCCCTGAATCACCGAAACCTGGTTCAGTGAGCTGAGTGCAGCTGAGGTTCGGTCTTGGAACGAGTCCAGCGAGGGCTCCGCGAGGACGGAAGGGCAGGCCCGGCCCACACACAGGTCCTCAGAGTTTCTTGCGTTGCCAGGATCCGCTACCGAACGTCGACTTGAATCCCAGCCCGGAGGACAGCGGGGCCCCCGGTGAGACGTTCTGACCTGCACAGCGCTGGGAAGCTGATGTTGGAGTGGACGACTTTGGCAGGTCTGCGAAACTTGCAGACAGCTGCAGGGGCCTTGGATGAGAGCTGGAAGTAGCTTCTCAGTACACATCGGTTTTGGAAGCATCCATGACTCTCAAGGTAGTCAGCTTGAAGGTGCGGGGGCTGCGTTTTGTAAGCTCACTTGGAGATTGACTTGAAGGATTGTAGTTCCGTGGGCCGCCGCAGGCCTCCACCAATGCTGCTTACGGGACTGCATCGACGAACAACGAGGATGCCGCATGCACAGCCTAAGCGCTTCAAAAGCTGACTGACTGATCGATCCGATCTGGAGAGACACCTGGCAACAGCCTGTCGTAAGGTGGTCCGGCAGCGCAGAGGGGATTACACGACCATGAAGGCTCGGTCCCCGTCCAAAACTGTTGTTTCGGTCGGAAGCTCCGGGAAGGCCTGGTTCGGATCAGAAAGCATCGACGAGGTCGGGTGCGTTTTGACAAGCAGCCTTCCTTCCAGACACTCTCTGTCGAGGACCCCTATGTGTTTAGGCGCGTTATGACCAACAAGCTCCCGATTGCTCAGCACAAGGCCAGCAGTTTGCAAGGATCGCACTGCATCATTCTTCCCTGAAGCCGTTTTCATGCTAAGCTTACAGTTACGGTTTGTTACGGTCTTCTTGCCTCTGTCCTCTTGCAGACTGAAATCACGGAGCTCATCAGGGACAACCAAATTGTGCCCGGGCACCCGATCGGATGCACGTGCCGACCGAACCTCAACGAGTAATGTGCACTTTGTCAGTGACAGTTTCTGCCACTACTGCGCTGCGTGACTCACAATGTCTGCCTCGTTACGATGCCAGGCTCATTCAGGGCGAGACAGGATGCGGCAAAACTACACAGGCACCGATGGCAGCCTGACACTTCCACCATGCCGGCGGATGAAACCTAAGGCCTTAAGCCCCAAGCCGAGTAAGTCCGTTGCCGTTGTCGTGCCGCAACTGGTAATGACTTTGATACATGCTAGCTGCTAGATTGCTAAAACAGTGCAGGTGCCGCAGTACATCTTGGAGGTGCGGTTCTTTGTGCATCAGGTATCAGCGTGGCTGCTGAAATACTACAAAGCACTCAGCCGTTGACCTGAGTTGTCTGCCAGGCAGCACTCCGCATGCAGGCAGAAGCCAAGAATGGCAAGGCACCGGTGCAAACGGCTGCTGTCCGAGGGTACAGTTGCTAGAAGCACAGTTCTGTTCGGTTTATGCAGACGACCTGTTCTGATTCTCCGATGATTTGAACAAGGTGTTTTGGAGCAGGGGCAAGTGTTTCACTCTGGCTGAAGGGGAAGTGGAAGTGGCAAACAAGGACGCTTCCCAAGGCCAGGCGTAGAGCTTTTTCGCAGCGTTGCACCAGGGAACAGACAATCGCCGGCCGGTGCGGATCGTCGTCACGCAGTCCGCAACTCGTTCTGAGACGTTCCCAGCAGCGTCTGCCTGCTCTCCATGGCTCCGTCGCTTGAGGCCTCGGCGGATTGCCGCCATCACCGTGGCGAAGCGCGTTGCCGAGGAGCTGGGCGAAAAGGCGCCCAAGACTGGTACCAGTCAGCAGTGTTAGCCGGAGTTTGTGTTCGCTGGAAGGTGGGAGAAGGAGTCGTGGGCTACAAGATCCGCGGCACGACAGCCCGCCCGACATAGACTTAGAATGTGTGAGACCCCTGATCACAAGATGCACCTCGACCCTGCACGGCAGGTTGCCTCTCCAAAATGTAAGCTGCTCTTCTGCACAACGGGCGTGGTTTTGTGCGGTCACTCAGCTCCAGCACGTTCGTGGCGGTGATTGTCAGTGGCTGTAGCGGAGCTGGCATGTCCATGAGCTTGCAATCACCACTTCAGCTTTAGCGGCCGTTTGCGTTTGCAGACTTGGCTTGAGGCGCAGATTGGCGAACGAGGGATCAAAGTTCATGTTCGGCCCAAAGACGGTCCGCCAGCTTAGCTTCTCCATTGCTCGCAACATTGCCTGGCTGCCCCCAGCCCCCTTCCCCCTTCTACGCACCCCTTTCGAGAACCCACTAGGTCACGCACCTGCTGGTGGACGAGGTGCGGCTTTGAGCAAGTCGTGATGCTTGAGGATTTCTCGCTGCTACTTTTGGGCTCCAGGTACTGTGGTGCAGGTGTTCTCCCGGCTTGGCTGTTCGATTGAGATTCAGCTGCAGCAGGTGCATGAGCGCGGCGTGGAGACGGATTTCATGCTCACCTTCCTGCGCGAGGCTCGCAGCTCACAATCCGTATGCCCGAAAGCTGGTTCGCGTTTGCTGCTTAGTGTTACATTTCTCATTTGGTGTCCTTTATAGTAATGGTAACCCTCACTTTCTGCTACCCGTTCTAGTCATAGTGATCAATAACCCTTACAGCACCCCTCATAGTAGCCCTTATGATAGCCCTGGTTCTCCCGTGCTTTTCATGCAGATTCGGGTGAACCGCCCCAACCTCCGTGTGGTGCTCATGAGCTGCGGCCTCAGAGTCTCTTTAGGGAGGTGGAGCCAGGGGGACTTGCCATAATACAGTCTTTTAATACATACATAAAAACATAATATGTATATATATATATATGTATGTATAGGGAACAAGAAAGTAATTAATCAAAGATGAATATAAACATAGATACCAACTTTAACATAAACGTAAATACAACTAGCAGTATATATACCTACCTATCTATCTAGCTAGCATCGAAACTAACTGCATGCATGCATGTATGGATGCATGCATGCATGCATGCATAAGTATCTGTATATATGATGACGCCATGTTGATAGGGCAAGTTCCTCCAAGTCTCCCATCTTCACGAAGGTGCTACCATGGACACAGCGTGCTTTCTGAAGTATTTCAGCCGCTGCCTAAGTGGTCCCCATGGCGCGATGCAGGGTCTCAGCAGCTTTAGTGTGTGTAACAAGGTCTTCCCGTGAAAGTTGCGAATGTAGACGACCGAAGCTCAGCACGACTCTTCGTTTCGACACTCTGCTCCGGATGTCGTTGAGGGTGGCGAGATTGCTCTCAAGCAGCCGCCCATGGTGGTCTGTCCGGCACCTGGATGTATTCGTAGAGCTTTAATACTAAGCATGAAGTTTTCAGTTCTTTGGAAAGACGGCCGAGGTATGTTTCCTTGCATTCTGTTGCGTTTGGGCCTTCGTGCCGGTGCCAGGCCCTGCATTCTGCCACCCGGTGGCCACTGCCTTGGACTTCTTCCTGCCTCCTTGCTCGCATCAGTCGGTTCAGTCGTGGATCGGAGGCGGAGTGCTACATGGAAACCATCAACGCTCGCCTTGGCGGTGGCCTTGAGCCGAGCCCTCGCGCTTGAGCCGCTGCGGCTTCCACTCCACTGTGAGGCCGCAACCGATCTCCTGAAGCCAAGAGCCGGCTGCCTAGAAGCAAAGCTGTGAAGGGCTCCGGATCCTCAATCTGAGGACTCCACAAAAGGTCCCTCAGATGATTGTCTCCATGCCTTTCAGAAGTCGCGGCCCTCGGCTGCGTGGTTCCTCAGGCCCGGAGGAGCTTCGCAGGGAGCCCACCGAAATGCGCGCGTCCCGGTATTTAGGGCTTCGGCCTTTGTGGTTTGACAGCATCTAGGCCCTCGTTTGAGCTCTTGTTCAGAGGTCAGAGAGTGATGGCATCGACTACGATCTTATTTTGAAGATCGTGGAGGAGCCAGCTGCTCAGAGAGGGGTCTCCGGGTCTTCTTGACTGCGGCTGGCGGAGCCTCGAGTCGAGGAGCTCCAGGAAGTTGAGCAGCGGTGGTAGTGATGCCCTTGTGTACATGCGAGGGTTTTGGCTCGAGATTCCAAAAGTGTCGTGCCAGAGGGCCGATGAGGCCGTGCACGAGAGCACTTTGTAGCCATTGTGGCCTCAACGTGGGCTGCCTTGGCCTTAATGGATTTGGCATTATGCGCCGGCGCCATGAACGGCTCTGCCGGGGCAGCCGTGCGGCAGCTGCGAGACTTCCTGCGAGACCTCTCTTCCCGACCTTGTTCCCCCGTGTGGATGTGAACAGGGACATACAGCGATGACATTCGCTGGATGTCCCTGTTCACGTCCACACGGGGCAACAAGGTCGGAGGTGTCACAGGCAGTCTCACAGCTGCCGCACGGCTGCCCCGGCAGCGCCGTTCTTGGCTGTCATGCTCCAGCACCGACTCCACTTCTTTGCCTGTCACGGTCAGATTTTAAGACATCGGCGAGGAGGCCGATCGCGGGCCGTAGCGATGGTTAAGCCATTGAGCCCAGTCTATCTATATCTTTATCTGTCTATCTCCAATATATGTCTACACGTCTGTTTCCTTTGTTCTTGTGCCTGCACCTTGGTTTCTATACTCTATGTTCCAAATGTTCCGAATGAACTTGTTATCTTCTGTGTTGTATAATCTATCGGCTGTAGTTTATCTGTAGTCTATATCTCATATCCTATATCCTGTGTCCGTTACGCCATGTCCTACGTTCTTTATTCAGTATCTAACTGCTGTCTATGTCGACGTGGTTTCCACTTCATTTGTCGCTGTATCTATGTCTACTACCTCTATGTTTAATCCATATCTAAATCTATATTGATGTCCACGTCTATGTTTTTCTGTGTCCATGTCTCTGTCTCTGTCTATACCTATGTCTATGTCTGCTTCTGTATCTGTGTCTGTATGTGTATCTGCATCCGAATTTGTATCTGTACCTGCATCTGCATTTGCATTTGCATTTCATCTATGTGCGCGTGCTCTTGTCCGTGCGCGACAATGGCTTGGTGGCAACTTGTCTGGGAAGGGCTGCCGAATGCGCACCCCCGCGAGCCTTGCTGTGTTGTGTCACGCGAGATATCGGCATTCTTGGAAATTCCTCGAATTGTGGAGCTGTTCTGCGACAGCCTGACTTGTTAAAAAGTCACAGGAGGTCGGTTGCTCCCCCGCTGGAAATCCGGCACACGATCTTCATTGCTGCCACAAAACCTTGAAGGCGTGCATTGTGTTTTTCATCTTTTCATACCTTCTGCTGACGTCTTTCCCAGCGACCTCAGACTTAGGATCGAGACTTCTCCGGACGGGGCCTGGACTTTTGCTCCAGAGTCCATGCGAGCAACGGCGAAGGAGCCCTTGGCGGATTGCTCGCATCGGCCCCAAAAATCCTGAGCTTGCCTGAACTTTACGTAGCTCACCGTTCGTCTCCAGGACCCCCACCGTGGTGCCGTCCTCGTTTTCTTGCCCGGGCTCGGGGAGATCACGCAGCTGATGTCGGAGTCCCGTCGTCCAGCCTCCTGAACATGAGTGTATTTTTCAGCACATCAACTGGAAACGTGCCGATACATCTACAGTGAAGATCTGTCGTATGAAGTTATCGCGGAGTATCGGCGTCGTGGGGGCATTGCCTCTTCAGGTCCAAGCTAACAGATGACAGCACGATGTCGTCCAAGTGGTGGGTCTTGCCGCTTCATGCGAACCTTCCGCCCGAGGACGATATCTTGATGTCCGTGCTTCATGCCAATTGCAAGTTGTACTTTCTATCAGTTCTGGCACATGCGAGGAGCAGCAGCTGTGCTTCAGCACGTCACTTCCCACAGGCTGCCAGGATAGAGCGAGTATGATTACTGTATCATTCTTCTGATTGATGCTACTGCGGCTGCTGCCGCTGCTGCTGGTGATTCTACCGCTGCTGCATCTGCTGCTGGCGGTACCGCGCCTGCTGCTGCTACTGCCATTATTCCGAAATTATGCCTGTTCTTCCTGTTGCTAATCTGAGAGCATCTCTTCTCATCTTTCTGGCATGACCACGATGACTCTCTTTGAACACTTTTTCCGGCGTGTATCTGTTCAGGTTGTACGCGGAAGATCATCTGCTCAACGAACGTCGCAGAGACTTCCGTGACGGTGTGGAGCTCGGAGATGCTCCAGTCCCAGGGCATCGAGGTGGCTGTATTACTGAAATTTACACGGTTGGCGATCTCTCCGCTAGTCGAGTTGACGCTGCTCTTGGCTCTGCGGGTCTGGGCCGTCAAGGGCTGACAGAATGCCCTACACTTTTCGCTACGGTCGAGAAGCTGAAGTGTGGCATGCCAGGTTCCTGACGTTACCGTGGTCATCGACACCTGCCGAGAGCGTCGGAACCAGGCCACGCCGGTTTGCCCAGCTGCCTGCGGTGTCCACTAGTGACTGGTGGTTCCTGGCCTTTCTGATCCCCGGTGCCAGGTGGATCGGCACAGCAACACGCCGATGCTGCGTCCGGGGCTTCAGCTGCATGTTAGTATGCGTCAAATCCAGTAGAAGGCAAATGATGTTTGCTCATGTGACAAGTCTGACTTCTATTGCTCTATGATACAACATGCTGGGGTTCAGCTTGGGAGTGTTGCAGACTTGCCTTTGAGAGGCGAGCAGTGGTGTGCCCTGGATTCCCTGAAGCAGCGCCGCGGTCGTGCTGGACGCGCTCGGACGTCCCAGCGCACTCGCCCCCCCCTCTCTCTCTCTGTTCTCTCTCTCTCTCTCTGTTCTCTCTCTCTCTCTCTGTTCTTTTTCGCTTCCCCTTTCTCTGTTTGGTGTTCTCATCGCGTGCTTTGTCCGAGGTCCAGCCCGGGGTTTGCCTGCGGCTCCTCCCGGAGAGGCGACCAGCAACCAGACCCACTCCGAGCTTAATCTGGGCTTCAACGGCTCTTGTGAGAGGGGTGCTTCGAAGTGTGGACCGTGGAGGCACTTAGAGCGCTTGGATGCCGTGTCTCCCCCGGAGATGCAGCGGGTGCCTTTGGAGAACGTCTACCTGCAGGCACAGAGCAGCGGTTCTGAAAGCACGTCAGCTCTCTGACAGATCCAAACGGCAGGTGTGCGCCAGCGGCATCGACGACAGGCGGGGTCCGCAGGATCCGGGGAGAGGTGCCCCCCATGTCGACATTGCCAGGCCGGGCTTCCTGGCAAAGACGCCGGATCCGCCCGACGAGCTCTCGGTGCTCTTTGCCGAGGTCCGGCCTGGGCACTTTACAGCGGTTTCCTGCGGCGATGTATCGCAGTCGGCAGAACTTGCGTTCCAAGAGACTCATGGAAAGACCGGCTTCCGATCCCCGAATGTCCGAAGCGAGGCGGCCTTGCGGGACCTCGGTGCACTCGACCCGTCACAGCCCGACGGTCTCACGCCGCCCGGGGCCCTTGGAATCTTCTTGCTGCTCCTTGGTTTGGGAGAGCCCCTGTGACGTGGGGGGTTCGTTCACCCTCAAGATTTTTAAGGGGGCCTCTTTAGCAGCAGCAGTAACAGGCTTGGCCGCCACTTGGCTGCCCTCCCCTGCCACCCACGCCTGGGCAAAATCCTGGTGCTCGGCCACAGCCCTGGTGCACAGCTGCGCGTCGAAGATGGGATGAACGTATTTATTTCGAAAGTGCAGCGGGGCTGTTGTGATGCAAAGAAGCCTGTGGAGAACTATCTCTGATGCCACGACTCAGGTTGCCTGCTGGGTGAGTCGAGGCCTCATAGTTCTAGGCTCTTCCCGTGCTTAAATGAGGCCAGGCTTCGGGTTGGCGAAGCACACTTGCTTAGTGAAGTTGCGTCCGGCAGCGAGTGAACCAAGGCCCAGCCCCTGCTTGAGCATTTGTGCAGCGACTTGCCTGCATGCAAGCCTGAGGCCAACCGCTCCACATCAACTCATCATCTCACTACCACGGGTACATGTTGGAGTTGACCGAAGGAGTGGCGTAGTCAGGTAGGCACCTGGAGCCCTGCAGGCTAATTTTTGTTCTTCGGGTGGTGAGTTTCTTGATTTGTCTTTCACACGTGTTGGGGCTCTTGGTGGTCCATGCCTCCTACGGTCCGGTAGGAATCCGTACTCGTAGCATTCTTCGGCACATGCCTCGTCATGGTCTGCCGAGGCGATGTCCGTGCGGAATCCCATGATGACGACGCAGGACGCCCGCTTTTCCTACATCGACGCGGAAGCTCGGTGGTTGCATCGAGTGCCGGTCCTTCATGCCTGACTTACACTCGAGATGATCCTGATTCGATCCCGAATCTATGCCCCCACGTTCGGAGGACACCAGCAAGCGGGCGAGCTGGCAGAGTGCGAGGCCGAGCCGATCCTGCGAGTCCCAGATAGGGGGCGGACTTCAGCTCGCTGGACCTTCTTGGACCCCCTGGGCAGGATGGAGATGGTGGCGGAAATCGGCACCCGGAGCGACCACTGCGCGTCCGGAGCCCGGTGAGCGCATCGTGCGCTCTTCGGCGCTCTCGCTCTGAAGCTGCCAGAGGTGGGCACACATCGTGCAAGAGTGGCGCTTCGGCGACATGAAGCAGTTCCGGGCTCGGATCTCCATTGAGGAGCCACCCGCGAGTGATTCAACTGATCCTGTCTTGCTTTCAACTGCTGTCGCTTGGGATTCTCTGGCCATCTTGCCGTACACAACAAAACCCGGACATGCTCATCCCAAACTACTCGCAAGCCCGTTCTGGAACCCTCTTCGTCCTAGGCGGGAGCTCTGCAAGAAGCTGGGGCTCTCCTTCGAGCGCATGGCCTCCTCCATGTTCGCCCTGGCCTCGAAGAATCCAACCGGCCTGGGGGTTGGGGTCCAGGGCTTAGGGTTTAGGGTGAGAGCAATGAATCAGCACTCGTAGTAGCAATTGCTGTACAACCCATGCTATGCCAAAACAAGGCGGCAACATATCTACAAATACATAAGTCGAATCACAAGCAACAGTTCTCTGCCAGCAATGAAACAGAATCAGTGGCGTTGTCTGAGTGTGGAGCTGAAGACCAAGGAGCGCCGGCACTTGCTCGAGTCCCTGGCCGGAGCCTCGGGGATGAAAAATGGTCTTGGGAAAGTCTGGAGTGATCTATCTGTCTGCATTCTGCATTGTAAATATGTATAATGTATATATATATATATATATATATATATATATATATATATGGATATTTATATATTATATGTGTCTATATATATACATACACATACACATGGGTGTATACATGCTTATACATGTAGGTTGTGTATTTGTCTATCTGTGCGTCGATCTGTATCTCTTATTTTTCTATCTATCCATCCATATACACCCATCCACCCATCTATCTACCTACCTACGTATCCAATCAGTCTAGTCTATCGGTCAAAGTATCCATCCATCCGTCTATCTATCATTCTGTGAGTCTGTCAGTCTGTCAGTCAGTCAGTCGGTCTGTCTCTGTCTGTCTCTCTCTGTCTCTGTCTGTCTATGTCTGTCTGTCTGTCCGTCTGTCCCAACTGCATATCCATCTGCTTATCCAGCCACGCAGACAACATAATGGAGGTGTACATGTGTGTAGCTAATGACCAAGCAGGTTGTTCGGGAGACAACGTGCCGAGTTGCCAGGTCCAAGTGGGACTCCTTCCGGGAAATTTCAAGGACTTGGAGTGGGAGCAGAAGAACAAGGAGGGCCTTTCACGGCTTGGAGTTTGTTTTCGATGTCTCAGGTTTGGATTTTTTTACTCGGGGCACATCACAGCAACTGACCACCTTCTGTTGTATACTTCTGTTGCCACATGGCTCCTTCCGGGCTTGAGCGTTCCATGTAGTGATCGCCGGGTTGAATCAGGGCTCTCAGTCAAACTCTGACTCAGAACGTCTTTTGCCAGGTTCCAGACTGGAACCTCGTCCGTGCTGCCGTGGCTTCTTGGAAGCCACCTCATGGATTCACGGAGTTGCTTTCTCTTTTATTCTTTGATTTTTTGGTGCCTTCGGCGGTCTTGATCCGAGGTTGGGGGCCTGTACCCCAACATCATCCACGTCTCGCGGAATCCCCCGAAGCCGACACCCCAGCATCGAAGCAGCAGCTCGACTGAAGCAGACGCAAGGGATGTGTGCAAGATCAGGTTCCAGAGTGCGACCATGATGGACAAGGCAAGTTGAAACGGTTGGGTGCACCATCTGGGCATTCCGCACCGGGGAAAGGGACCTCAAATACCGTGCACAGCGCAAAGAATCTTGTTTGGAGAAGGCCAAGTACCTCACCTACCAGGTGCTGCAGAGGCTGGGAGTTCTGAGCATGTTGATGCTTTCGTTGGCCTTGCGGAGGTTGGGTAGCAGATCGGCGGAGAGGTGTTAGAAGTCGCAAGTAGGTTGGGTCTGGTACTTCCATAGCTTTGCCAGCAGTATATGCTGCTAAGAGGACATCCTCGTCTAAAGCAGAGACTGTCTTGAGGGTTTCACGAAAGAAGCGTAGACGGATGGAGGGTCCAGCACAGGAGTACTGACTGCTGCTCGGAAGTTTCCCTTCCTTTGTCATCCCGTCGTTCGAAGCGTGGAGGCATGTGAAGATGGAGCAGCAATCCTATCCAAAACGCCTCAACGTGCACCCGAACTCGCTGATGTTTGGCCACGATCAGCGGAGAGCCCAGGAATCGGGCTCTGCTTTTCTTCGGGTCCTCCTCCTGGTGTGTGCATTGTGTTTTTGCTGCGCCGAGGTTCCATTGCCCGTGGTTAGCCTACTACACCATCCAGCTCAGGGCCCGGTTCGGTGTTTCCAGGCTACGAATCGAATGGAGGCTTCGACGTACTCTCGCTGTAATTAAGGCAGACCAGTAAGCTCTATGCCTACGACGTCTCCGAGGCACTGCTCACAGTGAGCCGTTGCTAGACTTCTCCTTTAGGCCTTTCGTGTTCTGAACCTCATGGCACCCCAATGAGCCGCTGAGCACGACCGTGACAGGTGAGCCCTTTTGCTTTGCTCCTTTTCGGCGGTGATCTGGAGACAAATCACGGTGGCATCGAGGCATCACATGAAGTCGTCTCGGGGATTCTCCGAATGCGCCAGACTGGGAATCAGAGAGTAGTGTTGGTTGTGTGCCAGTCTGAACAGTCCTCGAGGGTTAAGTGTCTTCTTGAGGCCTTAATGCTCCGTCCTGTCCCGAATCTCCTTCAGCGGTCAGTCGGAAATCGATTCCTTTGCGAGGTGGGGAAGTGGGCCACCTTCAAGTGCCGGGGCGGTAAGCAGCTCTTGCCCCTCCTGCAGGCCCTTATGTTGTTGTTCCCTGCCTGGGCCTGGGCTACACCCCGTGGCGCCGTTTCCAGGCTGCCCGAAAGGCCATTCAGGACGTCCTGGAGAGGAAGCTCGAGGACGTGCGGCATGTGTGTTTTCGTCCAGCCCAGTGAGCAGATTCGGATTCGAACTTTGAGCCAGGACTTGAAGTTCGATCTCAGCAGCTCCAAGGAGCTGCGAGCCTGCATCGAGCTGCTCAAGTGCAATGGCCTAGGCCGGCCCACAGCTTCTTGCGACTTCCAAGGGGGAACGAGCGGCAGAATTTGGATCTTTGCAGGCTTTCGCAGAGAGGACCCAGCCGACATCGTGCGGTGCAGTGACGGGCAGGTGCGAGATCTTCTGCCGTGTTTTCTGCACCATCGGCTGAGCGAAACTTGTTGTACAAGTAAACAGTGTGCCCGAAGCCCTCTACTAGGATCGTGAGTTCAACGAGCTCGAGAACGAGACAGCTTACATGACGCGGAAGGACTTTGACCCGTTTGGCCCATCGCGAAGACTTCATCATAAGACCATAAGACTTTGGAAGGATGACGAGCAGCAAGAGCGCATGAACAAAGTGTGGTCTGGAGCTTATGCAGAGCCTTCACACGCTTCCCAAGATGCCATTCACTGCAGGGGAGAGGTACCCTGCTAGCTCTTGATTCTGGAGCCCACAATGCATACATCGCAGTTCGCAGCTCTGTCGGCCAGTCTGTTCATGCACGCTGAAACCATTCCTGGCAGGGCCGACGCGAAGAAGCTCGCAGATTCGTAGCAGAGCGGAGAAAACGGCTTGTCGCAGTTTTGCGTCCAAGCATTTTGCAATTGTAGCTGTAGATTGTCGGTCATACTTGTCCGAAACCAAACAGTTAGCATTCGATCACTCAGCAGTTCACCCCACATCTGAAGCTTCTAGACTGCTCTGGTTCCTTTCTCGGCCTTTTGCAGCTGCTATGCGGTTGCTTGCTACCTTTGATGTTGCTGCTGCTGCTGCTCCCTTTCCAAGCTGCCCGCACTTCAATACTTCAATCCCAATTGCCGGCAAAAGAGAGGCACCACTGTCAGGACACGCGTGCGCACCATACCTGTCTGCCGCAGCCAGGTAAGTTTCTTTTCCGTATTCTTTGAATTCCAATTACCTGCACACGGGCCGCGCCCCCCGTGTTGGAGCCCTTTGGCTGACTTGGAAGAGCTTTCAAAGGATCCGCTCTGCCCTGGTCCGTGCACTTTGCAAGTGAAGGCCAGTGGCGCGGCTCTACGATGCCCAGGCAGATTCGGGAACTGGAGGGAAGACCAGACATGCAAACCTGCGTGAGTTCGCCGACTCTTTGTAGATTCGCCAAGACTACGATGTTCTCTGGTCGTTCCTTGATTTTGGACCCTAAACCCTAAACCCTCATATGCCTTTCGGGAAGGGAATTCCGAATTCCTAAGACTTTAGGCGGATGGAAAAGGGTGCTCAAAAACAACCTTAAACTCTAAACCCAAAGACAGACGAGGCTCTTGCGCTGGGCGCCCTTGGCGCCCTTAGCTCTCCTTTCGCTGGGCGTCTCTGGCGAGGCCTCCGGACGTGTGCGCATGCGCATTTAGAGTAATAGAGGGCTCAGGGTAGGGGGTTTAGGTTTCAGGGTTCAGGGTTTAGGGGTTTGGCTTCAGGGTTTAGGGTTTAGGGTTCAGGCTTCAGGGTTCAGGGTTTAGGCTTCAGGGTTTAGGGTTTAGGCTTCAGGGTTGAGGGTGCAATACATGAATAAGCAGACGCGTTGAGTTTCGGAGGTCTTGCCAGGCATGAGCGACACGCACGTGCAAAATCCGAAGATGCCTTGACAGGGAGCCGGCTCCATAGCGCCGCATCACGGCCAAAACAGCCATAGCATCTTGGATTGCTTTATCAAGAGTTCCCGTATGCATGTTAATGTGAATTTCATTAACGCTGGTATTATTACGATTGTTAATGTTGTAAAACAATATTACCCGCATCTGACCAGTAATATGAGCACCAGAAACATGATCAGGATTTTGAATGGTATTGATCGTGTTAAAGTTTTAAAAATGCGAATAGTGTCATTGCTATCGTTGTTATTCTTTGTAAATTGATGAGGAGCATTGTGGCACATGTGTCTGAGCACTAAGGTAGAAGCACGCCGCAGGCGAAGGCGTGGCAGGGGCTGGATGGTGTCCGAAAGCACACATTCTCCTTTCGGAAGCCTCGGAAAATTCTGCGACGCCCTCACCCTAGGGATGCGAATCCTTGTTCTTAGTTTGAATGCCGTTGCAGTGGGCTGTGGCTTTGAGGACTTGCAGATGCTAGGATGCCATAGGCCACAGATCCCAAGCCCTCAACCCAAAAACCTTCAGAACAGCAGGCCCACCACCAGGAGCGGCAAGCTTCATCCAAGGCAAGCTGCTTTCGCTGTTTCAGAGTCTGGGGTGTACGGTTCAGGGTTTAAGGATGTAAGGCTCACCGGTCCCCAGGTCCCTAGGCCCTGGCTTTCTCACTCAGGGGCCGGAGAGTGTGTGCGGCGCAGGTCGCGGATCACCAGACAGTCCTGCTCGAGCGGAGCGACCCCAAGCCCGAGAGCAAGGCAAATAGTAGCACCTGGCCGAAAGTAGAAAGGAAGATTGTTCTTTTGATTCTGAGTATTCCTGTCACCAAAATATCATGAGCATCATTCAGATGCCATTTAATGTCAGTATTCATACTCATATCCATGTGGAGATCAGTTGGCCTTCTCAGTGTGATCAATCTTCGCATCATCAGTCGATACAGAATCAGAAGACACACATCTGTGCATTGTACGTACGTACGTATGCATGGATCTATGGTTGCATGCACGCATGTCTGTACATGCCTGTGTTGCATATGTGTGCATGTGTGTCTGTATGCATGTATGCATGGTGTCATATCATATTTTCCCTTCCTGGCCTCCTACGCTTGATCTTTCGAGCTCAGGCACAGACACCCCGAAGGAGCTGAAGTGCCAACCCGACTCTGAGCTCTTTCAGCAAGTCGTCGCCAGCAAAGACAGGCCCTCGCTGCGCACGGGGCTTTCCATGCAAGGGCCGAAGACTAGGACTTTTCCTTGCAGGCACCTCTTCTTCAGTCAGAGGAAGGCCACGACAGTTCCCTTCCAGGACAGTGCCGTGGCCGAAACACGGCAGCCGTTGCATGTCTGTGCTCTTGCATCGACCTCTGGGACTAAGTTCTGGGAATTCCACGTTCCTGCGAAAGCTGGAAAGACAAACCGCAGTGCTGCACGAGGATGTTGCTTGGACCAGGTTGTTCGCAGCATGCAGCTTCAAAACAGCGAGTTGATTTTTGAATGGTCCACTATCTGCTATCCAGGTTTTACAAGCGCCTGGGTGACGAGACTCAGCCCATGGCAAAGGAGAGCTGCTGTTGGTACTTGTTGCTGTGATGGCTTGGCTGGCAGCACACCCAACTTGCTCTCCAGATGATACCAGATGTTTCCCTCGGCGTCACTGATGCCCTGCTCCTCTGCTCTGCATCTTGTTCTGTGCCGCGCACGCAGAGGAGCTCGCATATGTCCAGGATCAGTACAGGCACTTCAGAGAGGACCGCTTGCCGTTGCTTCGTCGCTTCGGATCTGCCGTCTCCGAGCGAATCGAAGCAATACCGAAACAAAGGTACCGTGGTTGGTTATCACGAATGGTTACAGCAAGGTGGAAAGCTACATGATTTCTTGATCAGAATCAATCCACAAGCTCCACATGTGGGGACACATGCCTGTGAAGAGATCTACTTTGCCATCAAATCAAGTTGAATGGTGGAACGTGAGGATCCGAAATCAAAACCAGGAAAGTCCAGCGAGGTTTTCAGGACACTTGCAAATCTCCATCTAAGGGGTTACTGTGTGTTTGTTTATGTGTGTGTGTGCACGTGCATCAGGGTCACGCCCATTTCCGCCTTTCGGGCTTAGCATCATGGGATTTGGTGCTCGAACCTACGGTTGCGTAGAGGAATACCCATCCTGGATGTACCTGCAGAAAAGGATTGGCACCCTGCGCCGTCGAGATTACAGGAATTATTGTGAGTTTTCTGCTGTCTCACGTCTAGTTTCGCTCCCAAGACATCTTGGCGATCTCCAAGAGGGGCTCTCGGAGCCTAGCTGGGGCGAGAGCCAGCGAACGAATCCATCTCTCCCGTCTTCACACTCCCAACCTTCACCTGAGTTTGTTTTTCGTGCAGGACACCGTTCAGTTTGCGTTGGAGGCAGGGCCAGACTTCTTCATTCTCTTCCAGGCTGTCAGTTTTGGCTTCTCGAGGCGCAGATGGATAAACAGTCACCTGAGACGGAACGGTTGAACGAAGTACGCGGCTCAGGTCTCTGAGAGATTTCCGAATAGGGAACATGTTCTTGCGCCCGCGTTTCCTCGGGCCTCAAGGCAGCCGACATAGCGCAACAAGGCCGTGGGAATGTGCACCAGACTGTTCGGCAGAGAACTGGATAAACCTGGCTTCTGGCCTGAATCTACGCCAAACTTTGCAGGCGTAGAGCACGTTTTGGACTTCATCAACCAATGCGAAGATCCGTGGCTTGGCTCTATTGGCTTGAGATGCAGGTGGAGACACGCTGGCGAGATGCTCGTATACTCTTATGGGAGAAGTCACGGTAAAGGTTAATTTTCCATGTCTCCAACCAGTCGGCATCACAAGACCAAGCGCGAGTCCATCGTCAACAGGCTTGTCGGCTTGTTCTTCCTGTCTGAAGTCAATGATCTCACCTACACCTACACCTACTACACCAACGCCAATTACTGCTGCTGCTGCTACTGCTACTGCAACAACAACTGCTACTTCCACTACGACCTACTCCTACTCTTACTCCTACTACTACTACTACTCCTGCTACTGCTGCTACTACTACGACTACTACTTCTACTATTACTGCTACTACTACTGCTACTGCAACTGCTACTACATACTAGACTATACCACTACTCCCGCTGCTGCAACAACAGCAAAAAGTACTACGACTGCTGGAACTACTACTGCTACGACCGTCTGAACTCAAGCAATGCTACAGTATGACTGCGCCTTTCATAGTCATCCGAACAGTTGCAGCAGCAGAACATTGAGGGATCATGTGATGTCGTCGAATTAGGCTACGACTGTTCTTCGCGTCTATGGCGTGCAACGTGGCAGCAAATGATGTGTGAACATGCCTGCAGGTTCTCCGCATGGAGGGAATGGTTTCGGGTTCATGGGTTTCGGGTTGAATCTCCGAAGGCTTTCTGGATCCTCAAGGTTGCAAGGGTGCCAGTTACAGGGATGTTTCGACGAGAAGAGGGAACGACCGCTTAAGTTTCACACTCGATCGGTTGCAGGTTGTGCAAAATTCGTTGAATAGATGCATGGTTTCATTGCGATGGCCATCACAAAAGACAAGAGTAGAGCATTAAACCCTGAAGCCCTCAGACTTTTTTGTGACGGCCCGCGGTTGCCTGCAAGGCGGAAGAAACGGTGCCTGATCTCGAGGGGCTTAGGCTCCAAACCTGTGACAGCGGACAAAGTTTCAAGCTCGAGAGAGAAGGCCCTGCTAAGCCAAAGGTGGTAGGATATGAAGAACGGATCAAACACTGTTTGCTTCTACTGCTAGTACTACTCTTACTACTACTTGCTACTTTGCTCCTACTGTACTCATACTCCTCCTCCTCCTGCTACTACTACTGTTGCTACTACTGTTCCTGCTGCTCATGGCTACTAGGGTGACATTGTTGACGACTGCGAAATTGGCGACCGAAGTGCCTGATGCACTGCACACCAGTTTTCCGATTCGTCTTTGCGTCAACAGTCCATCCAGGTTCACTTTGTCGGCCTAACTTGGACGATTACCTGACTGAAGGGACGATCCTGCAGATCAGCTCGACACTTAGAGCGGTCTGAACAGATTATTTTTTTGGCAGCTGCTCTGGTGAGAAGACATCCCGGCATCATCTGCGTTTGAGACGATGCGAATCAGCGTGGCGACCTCGCATTCACCTGCAGCAGAAGCAGTCCCGAGCTGCCAGGTGGAGAAAACGTGACTGAGCTCGCGAAGAACTGCTCCATAATGCCGACCTGGTGGCATAATGTGCGGAGGAAGTTTTGTCCGAAGTCTTGTCCTTTCGGCCCTTAGATGTGTCCTTATTTGAGTGTTGGGAATGTGAGATGTGCAAGTCGTCAATGACGCACTGTGCAACCATGATGATGTCCGTCCGTGATGGGCGTATCAGATCTAAGGCCAAAAAAGCTGAAAAAGGCAGGAAAGCGACTTGCCGCATCTGTTTGGTGTGTGCAATGCATGACAACACTTCTTGTGAGTGTCACGATGTGCTCGGGTCCCTGCAGCCTCCAAAGTTTGCTGAGGCTCTTCATGCAAGCTCGCAACGTCCTCAGGGAGAACAACACTTGCCAGGCCCCTTGGCTTCGAGTGGGCGGATCTCGATATGACACAGAATGGGACCGTTCGAGAAAGACAATCCCCCCACACCAGCCCACAAATCCCAAACCCTTAAACAGCGAATCCTAAACCATTTCCTGAGCTTCCGAGAACAAGTCTCTGCAGAGGAGCGTTGGTACGTGCACACTCAAACCTGGCTTGACCGAGCGCCGTGGCATTGTCAGTGATGCTGGTAGTGCTTGAGGACTTGGGGTTTGACTTCTACAAGCACTGTCAACACCCGAGAGAGTGCAAATGCTGGCAAGCATACCAGTCACCTCAACTCACTGTCGTTTTCGTCATTACGAGTGTGATGGTAGTAAAGCGATCCGGACAAGCAGTACAACTAATGCGTGAATGGTGAAAGTGGCGGTGCTTGTCGGTGCAACACTCAACCCAAAGCCCCGAACAGTTAAGTTCCAGAGCGCCAAAACCAAAAGCCCCAAGCCTCAAAGCCCCCAAAGCAAGAGAACTCCAAAATCCCAAATCCTAACAAACCCTGGAGCCGAAAACTTAAGAAGACGCCAAAGGTACCCAAAAACCCCAGAGCCCGCTGAGGCCGCGAGATTGTCCCTCCTCCGGTCCAAGGACATCCGACCCAAGTATGTGGAGAGCACCTTTCTCAAGGCACCTCAGGGCTTTCGGTCGAGGGATAGGGCGCTTGGGGCATTGATTGTCTGTAGTGAGTCGTTGTACCCAGAGGCCTGGAACTGTAACTGAAAGTGAAGGGTTTTTTTGGGCGTAGTGTCCAGAGCATAGAGCAGCTAGCAAGAAGGAGGTGCCCGACGTCTCCAAGCGTGATGCGCAGAGGCATTGCAAAGCAAGGGCTACGTCTACGAGCCCGAGGAATGGGGCGACGTCCTTCTGCTCCTTGGAAGACAAGTTGCACTGCAAGCGGTGGTAGACATAGTAGAGCGCGCGGACATCTTTGAATTCGTGCGGGCTCAGTGGTACCATCCGAAACGTCGTGAGAGCTGTTTCCGGTTGTTCCAAACTGTTTTATGTACAAAGTTTTCCTAACTGCTTGACCAACTGTGCGCGAATGCACCGTCAATCCGAGGCTCCACATCTCTGTCCTTGCGACAGGCCAGGTTGCTACAATCTTTGCTGTTTTCTTGGATCTGTTGCTTGCCACACCGGCACTCCCAGCCCCTCAGACTCCACCCCGAAGCATCGCAGATGACGAGAGACGTACCTTCGTGGCGCAAGATGAGATGCGTTTCTTCGTGCCGAAGGCCTGAGCTGCATCGTCGGATCATGACGTCCAGAGTTTCGCTGGGGCAGGGGATGGAATGAGTTGTTGAATCATTGCGGGCGCATCAGAACGCTCCGAGTCTCCGAAGCTTTCGGTGTCTTTTCATCTTTGCACTTGCAGGAGTCCAGGATCCAAGACATGCGAGAGAAGGCAAAAAACCTTGACGACCCCGACTTCTCAGATCACACGGACGACCGCACGGACGACGAAGGTGTGGCTACCGAATCTCTTTCGACAGAAGATCGCGCGAGCATGTCACCCGGACAGGTGTGAGCAACACAGATGACGACGACAGCGACAACGTCACGGCAGAAGCCAACAACGGCGCAAACTCGCTGTCCGAGCTCAGTGAGACGTCTGAGATGTCCGAGGACCAGGCCTGGGCGCCGGCAGTGAAGCCGTGAGCAGTCCGCCGGCTCGCTGCACAGGAGCTGAAGTGTGTGAACGGTCGCTTGGAGTGCACCAAAGTGCGGGGGAGGGCCAATACAGACGGGGGAAAATCGCTCAGGCAGAAAGCGGCGCTGGCACTGCCAGTGCCACCACTGCTGGACGGGTGTCAGCTGCAACGTGAAGATGGTCGAGGGCCCGGGCATCAACCAGGACCAGTGTTGTCAAAGCTTCGGGAAGCCAGGTTTCCACCATCGCCCTGATGAGAGCTGGCCTTAACCCCGAGCCGCACACCACATTCAAGTGAACCGGGCCTTGATTCTATTTTTCTATTTCGGAACCGGGGTCGCCTGCGAGCTTCGAAAGCAAACCAGACTTTGACAGCTTAACTCGAAAGCTTCAGCCGGAATGCTCAGCTTCGGCCTCAAGAGGCACAGAAGAAGTGTCAGACACCAGGACTGGAGAGTAAACAGAATCTGTTCCCGGCCAGTTGCAGGCAAGCGCATTTCTGTGAGTAGAGAACGCATGATTTATTGTCCCCTGAGTCGTATCCATTAAAAATGGACCCTCGAGCCGTCGCGTTTGCCCAAATGGCTCTGTTTCTCAACTGAAGGGAGGAAAGCACTGTGTATTTAGATATGTACCTTTTCGCTTGCTAAGTTCTCCGAGCTTCACATTCTCGGCTCGCTAAGCCTGCTCGGCGTCCTACCCCCTTTGTCAATGTGGGGAAACAGCAGGTCGTCGAGGCTCGCGTGTGCACAAGTCGTGTTTTGCACAAGGTAAGTCAGACAGAGCGCTGTGTGCGAATTATGGCGAAGCCACGCGTAGCTTTGGTCCACACGTGTGGCGGAACGGCCTTGATCTAAAGTCTTCGGGGGCACGTCGTCAGGTCATGGGTCTATGTTTAAGATTACACGCCCACTACGGGTGTGGAGTCGACATGCCCAGACCCTGAACCCGTATGGTTCAGATTGAGCTGCTGAGCTGTTGTTGAGGAGTTTGAGCCGCTGGTGGCAGAGAGGGCGGCTGGAGCAGGAGGCTATCACCAGGACCCGGATGTCTACCCCTCTGACATTTTGCTAGACTATTCCTCAAAACCGCATCCAAAAGTCGGGCAACTGGGCCTCTGATGAAAAGACATGGGATCATAGTAGGGTCCGTTAGAAGCATCTCCTGTAGGGGTTGCAAGCAAAACTGACACTACTAGGATGGTTACGATTCATTCACATTAGCAGGGTTAGATCATGATCACTTGGTATGTCTATGATGACTATGCCGCTGATTTTCACATGCCGTGCCTCTTGTTGGAACTCGGTGTTCAAGGCCAGTTCGGTGAGATTGGCAGGCAGGAAGGGTTCTTGAGGACGGTTTCAGGGGTTCCGGGTTTAATCTCCTGTATGGTTTAGGGGTTGTGCTCTCTCACTATCATTGCTGCTGAGTGTTTCTGACGAGTCAGAGCCCCGGTGGTCGCAACGCATGAGAATCGCAGCCACGGGGACCTGTAGATCTTCCAGCTGGCAATACTCCGCTTCCACAGGGTGGCCATGCTCTGGCCTCGCAGACATGTGTCCAAACTGGCAACGCATGCATTCTGTCATTGCTTTCCGTGATGCTGGCTGTGTGGTTTTTGTTGAATACATCGGCAACGAGAGTGATGACAGCTTGAGTCGCTGAGCTTTGTTGAAGGTCACTTCCCTAGAGGCAGACAGGCAAGAATTAGAGTCTAAGGCCTCAGTTAAGGAATTTGGTGTCGGGGGTTTGGTTTGAGTTGCAACGTCTCGCCGATGATGTCACCAGATCCTGTGCAAGCAGGAGCTGGCCGTGCAAGGTTGTGACTTGGCTGGCTGTCACGAACCGTGAACCCCCAGCCCTAGACCCAATAGCCTATACCCCAGAGCCCAAAACCCTCAGCCTAGCACCCTATTTAAGCCCACAGCCCGAAGCCCTGCACTCCGACTCTTGGGCAAGGTCAACTCCACACGGATCTCCGCTACCAGCAGCTCGGCTGCAAACCGGTCAACTGGCAGAAGCCCTAAGCACCCGAATTCCAAAGCCCATTAACGTAGCACCTAAGACTTGAAACCCAGTAAGCCCTAAAGCTATGAAGTCCAACGGTCCATAAGATTTAATCGTATCGGTGAGTTGCTTCGAGGTTGGCCCGCGTCACCTTGGTCCCGATCAGTGAAGCTGCGGAGGCCGGGTTCCGGTGCCAACTTCTGAAAGTCGTATCAGTTTCGGAGATGAGTCGGGGCACGTGCAGTGCTTGAGCGTGTCGGCTCTTTGGGACATTCTAAGATATATATATATATATATATATATATATTTATACACATATACGGACGCCCGGACTGCATAAAATGCATGATGTAGCTTACACATACTACAAGTAGCTAAATACAACACATAGTACAGCTAGTGTGTATCTATGTGTATATGTATGTGTATAAATATATATTATATGTATATATATATATATGCATGTGTAGATATGCACACATACACTCATGATATGTATATGCCCTGCATGATATGTGCTCTGCCTCCTTGCTGTTCGCAAGCGATGTGTCTACAGGCCACTTCTTGAGTTTGCAAGGGGATGTCACTGTTCCTTCAGTGTGCCCCGAAAGCTGCACGAAGTGCTGCGAGTTGCCCCGGTGGGATTCTGGGGAGCCGGCTGCTGGTTACGGCCGCTGTGCCGTACTTACTGATGGTGGGCAACGCTCGACTGTTGACCTCTGAGTGGTTTGTTAGGGTCGAGTACTCTCGTCCCGGATTTCCAGAAGATAACTTCGGCATGAGCAGCAGCGACAGGCTGATGTATGGGGTGTATTGCATCCGATACATGACGAACGGTGAAGGCATCGACTACCTGAAAAACTTAACTTTGCCCCACGATGTGTGCCACTGGAGTCGGCGCCCGGCGCAGAAAACGGAAGGCTGCCAGATGTTTACCGAGAAAGAGTTGAGCCACATGCAGGACGTGAAGGCACTTTCCGGCGCGCTCTTCGTGGCATTCTGGGGTCTTCTGGCGCTGGTCACGGTCGCAGGGGCCTTTCTGCTTCACGCAGATCCAAAGGTGCTGAAGCTCGCCCTGCTGCGTGGGAGTCAGCTGACCTTGGGACTGATCTTGGCCGTTTCGATCTTTGCGTTGCTGGGATTCAAGACGCTCTTCCGATGGTTTCACGTCTTGTTCTTTACCGGGGATTCCTGGCTATTCTCGTTCCGGGACACGCTGATTCGCTTGTATCCCCGGCAGTTGTGGCTGGATGCGACGCTGATCCTATCCTGTTCCACGCTCGTTCTGTCGATGGCAGCGACCATTGTCTTCCGCGGTTCACGGCTCCCTCTACACCCCAAGGAGAAATCAGAGGACCACGTCTGAGGACTGTTCATCCGCGTCCCATAACCGTGAGTCTTCGTGAAGGCGGTCTCTGAGGTGCCAGCCTGAAGAAGGACTCGCCGACAGAGCTGCGGATGCTCTGGGCTCTGGGCAGGCTCTGGGTGTTGGCCAAAGGTTTGCTGTACCTTAGCTGCCGCAGCAAGTGCGTGGAAAAGCTCGTCCGGCGCTCATCCCCGACCCCCACCTCACCTCACCTCAGCCGGCCGGCAATCCAACATGTGCCAGGGGAGGAGGAAGACCGAGGATCTGTGCAAGGCGCCACAGGGTAGCCGCTGGCCTCTGTGATATGTTGTCTCCAACGTGTTTTCCGGGTCTACGCAATAGCAGATGTCTACATGTCTACAACTATGTACCTGTCTCCCACACATCAGCTTAGGCTACAGCAATGCGCTGCGCTTGAAGATTCCGTCAAGAGCATCTTGGACCATCTGGGACCTCGCTAGTGTAGCCGAGGGGACCTCGCCGGTAATTGAGGTGTCGCGCAGGCAGTACGTCTACTCGATCGATGCCCCCATCGGTGCAAGTCTCAGCTGGCAGTGCAGGGCAGCGGAGGCTTAGACATACCAAGCCTACAACCATTTTGAACTCGCGGAAAGGTGCTTTCGCAAGGTATGAAGTTTGTTTCTTGGCCGGCATTTCTTGAAGCTTTGGCTAGATCTATGGCTCTGAACCCGACTCCAACGCGAGGCTACTGCTACGGAGTGGAGTGCTTCGACGACAAAGACTGGCAGACGAAAGCGAGCTTAGCTGGATGGTCCAGCGTGGGCCAAGTAGAAGTGCCCGAGCTTGAACATATGGGTCGCTCCGAAAGTGTAGGGTCATTCCCAAATGCTCGATGATGTGATGTGTGTGTGTGTGTGGGTGTGTGGCAAAAGGTGGTCAACACCGAAGAAGAGCGTGATGCCGTCGTCTTGAAGATGTTCGAACCTACGGCGCGCCGATAAGGGGGATATGATCCAAGGTCATTGGTCTCTCCGGAAGTGTAGGAGAACCGCATTTTCTGATAAGCTGCCACAGGCCCTGAAGGCTCGATGGATTCGGGAGCAGCCGGCCAAGCTCTGTAAAACAGACTGGTACTTGAAGGAGCAGGAGACGCTGCCTGCCTGAGATAGGGGGATCGTTGAACAGGGCAAATCTAAAGCAGACCCTAGGTCGTAATCATTCAGAAAGGTCAACACGACTGTACAGCTGTACAGCTCCGCAGTGGCAGCTGGGATGTGCTGTGCCGGCGTTCGATAGTGTCTTTTCGGCAGCAGAGGTTCTTCTTCGTCCGCCGGGGGCAAAACGTCTTCTTCAACTGCAGCGAGGGCTTCCAAAACTTGCTGCTTGCCTGGGCGTTGGGCTTGAATGGCTTGATGCCAGTAAGATTATGTGAATCTCTGGTGCTAACTCTAGTTAGATCGCAAGTGGCTCAAAATGGGAAGAGAATGGGGATCCTGGTTTTTCGGAAATACAAATAGAATAGGCAAAAATAGGACCTGCCCGCACTCCCCGCGCCACTTTCCGCCCTGCGGCCCTGTGTTAGTTTACATTATTCCTAGATTTTTTTCTTATTTTTCTTCCTATTTTCCTCCTGTTTTTCTATTTTATTCTTATTCGGACAATTCGGGGCCCTTGCTCGTAAACTCACAAAGCCTGCTGCGTATCCCAAAACCCCAAACCCTAAACCCTCAACTCCCTAAACCCTAAGACCCTACACCCGAAAACCCTAAACCCTAATGAAGGAAGGGGGTCGAGCAGCTGACTTGCCACAACGGCGCCTGGAAGGCGCCCCGAAGCCTTGCTTTTTTGTTTCTCTGGGGATTTCAGGAGGAAGGGGTGGGGGAGTTGTGGACTTTACCTGGACCCCCAAATGTATGTAGAATACTAGCCGGCCTTTTATTGGGCCATTATTTTACCTACTTGGGGGGTTTGGGTAGAGACCGGCGAGTCAGAGATCTGAGCCGCAGGGGCTTTCGCGCCTCACTGTCCTCGGATCAAACGACGATGCAAGTGTCATACGCGTGCACGACGATTTAGAAGATGCCACCTCGTCAAGAGAAGTCAAGAGTCAAGCTGGCAGGTGGCGAAGCATTCCGAGGACAATCCCATGGAGCAAAAACTCTCGCCCCCGGACATGGCGGTCTGGGCGCCTCGGAAATAGAATAGAGGGTCCGCGCCTTGAAATGTGATGGCGGGCTCTGCAAAGTACGTGCACCTAAATCTGTCGATGGTACCGATAGTACACTACAGTACTTAACTTCTCCAGCCCCCGCGCCAGAGCCAAGGAGCAGGGACAGTTTCCCGAGTGTTCTTGGAAACACGCCGGCAGCTGCACCACGGACGATCCCCTAAGCGTGGCTCTGCTCGGACAGTGCTTGGCTGGTTTGGGGTCGGGTTAGGGGTGAGGTTTAGGTTGGTGTTTGTGTATGTGTGTGAGAAATGTATCTCATAAGTGTGTGTATGCATACGCATATTCATGCATGGAGAGTTACACGTACACAGATTAACAAGAAACATGCATGCCTCAGCATCAGCACTATCCCGGCATATGTATGTATGTATGTATATATATATATATATATGTACATGTAGATGTACATGCACACGTGTATGTGTATGTGTACATGTACGTGTGCATGTAGATGTACATGCACAACCGTATGTGCGTGTATCTGTATGTGCATGTGTGTGTTGTGTATTAATTTAATGTGTATGTGTATGTAGATGTAGCGATGTAGAGATGCTTAGAGACACGTGACACATGAACATACGCATCGGAGGGCAGGATGTGGGAGCCGCCGCCAGTTTTTTCAATTTGAAGAATCTGCGAAGTAGAGATCAGATGCCACATCTCAGGTGGTATCGCCTCGAAGCCTGGGCCCTAGGACCCCGAAGTTCGTTACACTTGGCTCGACCTCAGGGCCACCCTCGCAAGAGCTCCTTCTAGCATTTTCCACGCTGAGGCCCGCCGATTACCAACGACTTCTCCGGGGATGGCCGGGTACACTACCGGTCGGGGGCTTTTGTTCCTGTGGGTGGATGTTTGATGCCTTCTGGAGCCAAGGTGCAACCCTAAGAAGGGCACTGGGCAGCCCATGCGCCTTGTAGTCTGGGAGCCGGAGCTCAACCTCACCAAGGGAGCGCAGGCGAGATCGAAGGCTTCTCCCTTTTCAGCTCTCCCTGAGAGCTCTGGCCAGGTGATCTTCGACCGCAGCAAGGTCGCCGAAGTCCTGAGCTTCCAGGAGAAGAAGTATCAGGCATTCTGCAGGGTACCGCCTTCAGTTGAGCCACGTCGCACAAAGCTCTCGGCCTACGGCTGGAAGCTCCCGAATCCCTAAACCCATCTAAAGCTCTTCTCACACGTCGCAGATCAAGCTGCTGGAGAGTGGCGAAGAGAAGACGGCGGAGACGGACAAAATAGAGCCTCGGCCAGATAGAGACACGCAACATTTCTTTTGCAAAGCTGGACAGCCAGCAGCGGGAAACCAGTTTTACGGGTGCCCCGACCCGCGGCCCCAAACTTAGGTAAACTGTACCTAGGCCTAAAACCCTCAGAGAGCTCGGCTTGGCTCGGCTTGTCCAGGAGTGGCTACCGTCGGACACGAGCTACGTGCGTTGGTGTGGCGAAAAAGGTAAGTATGAGCCCAGCGAGGTAAAGATCCGAGCCCCGGCTGCAACTCAAAAAAAGGTCAGGGCTCTTAAGGGTCTAGGGCGTTCGTATGAGCCACAGTGACAGGTGGTCTTTTGGGCCGTGGGGCTTTGTTCAGGTCTTCCTTTCGCTGTCTGTGCTGTTCTTCCTGTTCTCTTCGTGCCGTCAACATCACGGCTTGTCGTGTTGTTCCGGCACATGGGCAGATGTGTGTTCCTTTCAATCTATGCCCGTGCAGCGGGTTTTTTGGGAAAGCCTTTCATAAGCAGTGCTTTTTGCTTCCCTGCATACCTTACGACTCGATTTCGGGCGTCTCAGAACCGCATTATGTTAGGCGTCCTCTTGCGAGGCTGCTTGCTGGTCCTGCCTTCTGAGACGGAGAAGGAGGATGCCGACGATGATCAGTCGGTCTCTTTGCCTAAACCTGGTGCTTAGAAGGATCAGCTTGCAAGCAATATGGTTACTAATTTCTCAAGTTTGGCAAAGGTTACTCTTTGCCAGCCTCTACTGGTATGTGTTAGTAGTACTGCATATGGCCGGACGGTATAAGATGGCTCCACGTACTTTCTACGGTGTTACTATGCATGTCTGTTTGTTTCAGAGAATGACCGACCCTCGTACCTCCTGTAGGACCTGAATTCCTATATCATGACGATACCACACGACCGCCGAATAACAATAATTCCTGAACAGCCCTTTCTCAAGCCTCTACAACCCCTTAGGTGTCCCTGTTAAACAACCGTAGGACCCCCTTCAGGGCCCTTCCAGATCCTTTAAACGGAACCCCTCAATCCGCCTAGCTTCTCTTCGGCCACGCTGAACCCTAAACCCTCCCTCAACCAACAGGGTAGTCTCGCGGCATCGGCTAAAAGCCACGAGGGTTCAAAAACAAAGCCTTAAACCCGAGGCCAAGGGCGACTTTGCCTCTGGTGCCTTCGTGCCCGAGCAGGAGGCAACGACCACGACCACGCAGCAGGTGGCCGCTGCCTTTTGCCGCAATGGAATGCAGGGATATTCATGTTTTTCTGTATATTAGCAGATGTGGTTTTGGGGATTTAGGGGTCCGGGGGTTTGGGATTGTGGGTTTGGTTGCCGTAAGCATGGCTGGCCGCAAAGCTTGGTGTGACACTTTAACTTGTCGTCTGACCCCTCTTGCCGAGTGGAGGACATAGAAGTTTATTTTGCAGTTCAACGTGTCAGACCTAATGCAACTTATGTGGTAGCAGGTGTGGGACGAAGACGCAGGTAAGAGATCCCACACTTAGAACACTGAAGCCCCCCAAAATGACGAGTTTCAGCAGCAGCAAGCTTGCAGGAAGAAGAGAAGGGAGCCTTCCAACACAGAGCCGGAAGCCTAAGCCAGAAGCCCAAGCAGTAACCCCAAACCCCAGGGCCCAAAAATCCAAAGCGCAAGAGCCCAACCTCACATCCCAAAGCCCTAAGACCAACACTCAGAACACAAGAAATCTAAACCTCAAGATCCTCACATAGAAACCATAAAGCTCTCATACAAGCGAGACCCCACTTTTTTTTTTCTCTCCCTCTCTCTCTCTCTCCCTCGCTCTCTCGCTCTCTCGCTCTCTCGCTCTCTCGCTCTCTCGCTCTCTCGCTCTCTCGCTCTCTCGCTCTCTCTCTCTCTCTCTCTCTCTCTCTCTCTCGCTCTCTTTATCTGTCGCCATACATGTATGATATGTATATGTTATACATGTATATATATATATATATGTATATACATACATACACCCATAACCCCCACGACAACACTCTGAAGCCAAAAGCACTCAGCAGAGACCCGGTCAAGTCCCAGGCCTCGCTACTGGAGCAGAGTGGCTCCTCCCTTCTCGAGGCAGGCAGTTTGTCACTGGGGTAGCTTTGTTGTGTCTTCTTTGGGTATATGTTTGGCAAAGACAAGGGGGTCTGTTGGCATGTCTCATGATTATGTTCTCGTTTGACGCTTTTGCACCCCGCTCTTCCCTTGCCCGGGATCTATGATAGTCGACGGGCAAATCGTACTGATGAGCCCATGACCCGTCGACGGGCACGAAAGCCCTGCTACGCTCCTGGGTGCCGCAATTCTCAGCTCGAGGTACCCCCCCCTCCGAACTTCGGGAACCTTGCTCAATGAAGGTTGCCGATTGCTATCATCCACGCCGTGGCAAATCCATAGAGCTCGCCTCTGCGTGCTTGCTCACGTATGTCGAGAAGTACTTGTATCCATCTTTGTTTCTATGCTTACATAACTATTTGTCTCTATACCTATATGTCTATATACCTATATATCTATATATCCATTATGTGTACATATCTATATATCTGTATAAAATTGTAAATCTGTATATCTCTATACCTACCTACCTATCTACCTATCTATATATCTATCTATCTATCTATTCATGCGTACATAAAAACATATCTGTACACACACACACAAACCTGCATTTCGCCCTTGACATCATGGGTTCCTTCTCATCTCCAGGCCTCGGCAAGTGGTGGCGGTGCTGTCCGTGCTAAGGCTGCGCTGGTTGAGCAGGCCGGGCGGGCTCATAAAGGTATGATCATAATGCACGGCGGAGGCAGGAACACGAGGCGGATAAGGAACGGCGGCAGACAGCCGCAGCAGCAGCAACAGTTTTGCGCAGCTGCTGGTCGTCATCTTTGTTGCAGGCGCAGCAGTCGGAGCAGGCAGCAGCAGCAGCAGTGGTGTGCCGGTCGTGGCCGAAGAAGTAGTCAAACAGTAGACAGTCCGGAGGGTAACCATGGTCAGAACAGTGAGCTCAATCAAGATAGTACTACTTCAAGAACTAACAATCATGTTCGGCTTCTGGGACAAGTTGAAATCTACTGTCAGATGTTGGCAGCCACAAGTACAGTGCATGTTCCGCCATGTTCCGCCCTACTCTGCACACAGCCCAGAGCCCCTAAACCCTGAACCCATCTAGATCCTTTAACGGAAGCCTTAAAGAATCCTTAAAGAATCCCTTAAAGGAGCCCTATACCCCACAAAACCCAGAGCCAGGCTGTGGACAGATCCCCGTCTCTGAAGCTGCAGCCATGGCCGGTGATGTTTTCTCAAGATGCAGGCCACATGTGTGCATGCACATAATATACACTTAATGTACACATGCTCATGAATATATATATATATATATATATATATACATACATACAAGTACAGTGCAGGTTCAGATCCTTGGGTTCGGGCTGTTTGTTGTGTGCGAGAAAGACCTTCCGTCCCACACGGCAGTTGCACGCGAACAGGGTAGTGCCAGCGTAACGTCGAGGTTTGAAAGTACCAAGCTACCGTGCTCAAGCGCGAGAGCAGACCCTTGGCAGAACACGTCCTCCACGTCGACAGCTGCTGGATGAGTGCCATGAACTGCAGCGACGGCACCGTTGCGAAGGACACAGCCCAGCTTTCCAGGCTTGTAACGAGAGTTACCTTTCCTCTCTGTGCGCAGTGCGCAGGACACTGTCCGGTCAATGCAGAAGGAGTCTGTGATGCTGGAGATGTTCAGGGCCTCAGGTGATACCAGGAGGCTTTCTTCGTAGCTGCGGGGCTTCCAGCCAGCCGAGGCCACCGGCAGCCTCCGAGGAGGCGGTCCAACGTAGTTGGGGCCTTGCAGGCTGGCGCGGGGTGCACGCGGGATGGCGTGCGGAGCCCTAAACAAAAAAACCCATCGAAATCTGCGACCGCTGCAGATCTGCAGGCTGTGCCGCACTGGCCCTCATTCTCGGTCTCATGCTGCTGGGCTGGCGGGCGGCTCAGGAGTCGGACGTGTACGTGTGTGGTGCGGCAGTGCGTCGAGGGAGGCGCAGCGCCTGGAAAGGTCAAGCCAAAGCCCTTCGCCCTCGCAGACCGGCAAGCGCCGGATGTCGAAGTGACGTGGAGGCGGAGGCCCGCAAGTGCAAGACACACGTCCCATGCCATGCTCGAAAGTGCGAGTCGGAGCCCAAGGACATCTACGATGTCGCTGGACCGAACACTCCACCCGCGTGTTTCACAGACAGAAGCCTGATGCCAGTAGCAGAATGTAGCTGCGTGCCGTGGTGCAACAAAAGTGGCGCTCCTCTGTTGCGCCGCAGCTTGATGTGAGCCCAGCGCCTCGGGTGATCCGAATGGAATGGACTTGGGTTTCCCCAGCTGAGGCGAATTCTTGGCTCTAGATCTGTCGGTTCATGCCAGATCTCGCAAAGTCGGCTCAATTCATTGCTCTGGTGATAGCAGGCATCGAAGGGCCTCAAGTAGCAGTTAGTTCACAGTCGCTTGGCTTCAATTTGGTTTCTGCGGGTTTCAGGGGCTCCCCGAAGCCCTCCTTCCTCCTGCTTTCTCAAGACGATCGAACCTTGAGCCGTGAATGAACGAACATGCTAAAAGCCAGACGATGTTTGGCAAAGCCATAGCAGTGTGACGGCTAGTGATAGTGTACGGGACACCCACCCACCACTCCTCCATTGCCAGTACTTCCCACGGATGTGTCAGTGAGGCACTTTTCCATTCTGGAGAGATGTTCTTCGGCGGCTTTCCTGGGGGCGATGGATTCCCCGGCATGGGGGGCAAGGGCGGAGGCTCGGGCAATCTGTGCCCTTGAAAGCGGCCAGGGAGGGTTTCAATCTTGTGGCAGCTGCTCTTGCTTCTTTACTGTGCCTGTGGCCGGTGTTGCAAGCTTGGGGTTTATTCTACTGCTTTGCAGTCACTAAACCCTAAATCGGGGTTTCCGAAAATTAGGGGTACCTCATCTTGGGGTCCTTCCCATAAGGATCCTACTCTTTGAGGTACTAAAACAGGGTCCCCTTTTTTTCGGAGACTCCCAGATCCCCCCCCAAGCAGCCCTTTCCCGTGACTGCGAGGCCGGGGGAAGAATGCGGACACGACGAAGTTCTACAAACTCCTTGAGGTGGACAAGCCGCCGGGCCGGAAAGCAAGAAAAGGGCGGAGGGAGTAGTGTACGGGGCTCAAGAATGAAAGGGTTTAGGGATTTTTGGGGGTATATTGTGGTATGGTCTGATATGGTATGGTGTGGAATAGAATAGTATACGAAAGCCTGAGTATTCACCAATATCATTCCCACGGGTTCTTTAATGTAATCAAGCTATAGCATTCCCGAAGCCCGAAGCGAATTATTTCAGCATCATATATTTGCTTTGCAGTTGATGCTCGGTTCTTGCAGTGTTGCGACGCATCCCAGGGGTGCCTCAGAGGCCGACATCAAGAAGGCTGCCCGTGCCCGGAATTTGGCGCAGGATCTCACTAAATTGTAAGCCGTATATAAGCCTTCTAAGTCTGCTCTGAACTTCAGTTCCATCTGGCAGAGGCATACAGAAAGCTCGCGGTGAAGCATCACCCTGACAAGGCAGGGAACGCAAGCATAAGCATCGTAGATCATATGAGATGTAGTAAAGCCGTAACAAGAGTAGATTGTTATTTCAGAATACAGTGTAGCAGCGCATAGTCTGCGATGAAATAGTTGGAGGTATTTCAGGATCTCGCAAAGCAGCATCGCAATTTGCCGTACAGTCTGTTTCGGTAATGTCTTTCGAAGTACTGTGGATCGTGTCAGACAGTATGTGGCTCGGTCTAAACCTTGACCCTACACCCTACACACGAAACCCTAGCCTAAAGGTGCTGAAAATGACATCCCCAGACTCCCAGCCCATCAACCCCAAACCCTCCAGAGACCTGCAGCATCGTCTTGTCAGGGCGGCGACCCCGAGAAGTTCAAGGAGATCACCCGAGCCTACGAGGCCATCATCCTGGGTTCAGGGGTTCGGGGTTTTGGGGTTCGGGGGTTCAGGGGCTCAGGGTTTTGGGGCTTAGGGTTTGGGGTTTAGGGATTTCGGGGTTCAGGGGTTCAGGATTTCGGGCTCGGCGTTCAGTTCTGAGTCGACTGTGGCTTGTCCGGACGTTCCAAAATCCGGATCCCCGCGCATTCCGCACCTCGTAAATTTGCACAATCAACGCCTCAGCAGGTTTTGACGAGAAGAGCTTGTAGATAAAGATGCACGTCCGTTGAAGCAGCCGATGACCTGCCTGCGCCAAGCCACGACCCCAAGCAGCCTGGAACAGCTCCAGTCCCGTAGATGCCAGGTTCTCAGTGATTCCGACAAGCGTTCGAAGTACGATCGTTTCGGCCAAGCACTGAGCACTGGGTGACCCATACGCGATGCTTTGCGACTGTTGCCCCTCTGGGGCGGCCTCTTCGGACCTGCATCGCAAGACTGTAAGGATGATAATTTAGACTAATGTAGTAGGTATCTGTTGTACGACCTTGCTTCAGCTTGCTGTTGCATACTCTGTTATAACGTACTGAAGGAGTGTCCTGCATGGCATTTACAAATCATAACACTCTAGTGTGACTATATTGTATACAGTCTGTTATCCTATATGACTCTAACAGATGTGTGGTGAACCCAGGTGAGGAGGGCCTGGACAACGACGGGCCTGGCGATGCAGGAGACATCTTCGAAGCCTTCTTCGGGGGAGGCTCAGCAACCCCAAACTGTCCAAGCATTGAAAAAGCCCTCAACCCAAACTCCGCAACCCTGCCCTAGATCCCAAACCCTGAATCTCTGGACCCCCTAAACCCTAAATCTATACCCTCAACTTCCTAAACCTCACCAGACTCCCTGAACCCTAACCTAAATTACTATATATGGTCACGCGCTCCGCGGCCCCCCCCCCCTCCCCCCCCAAAGGTCAATGGTCCGGACAAAGGGTGGGACCCCCCCTCCCCTGTGGTGTGGGGTGTGGGGTCCCTCTTCCCCCTGTGGGGTGGTTGTGGGGTTTTGGGGGTTTAGGGTTTAGCTTAAGCTTTTGAGTGTTGGGTTTACGGTTACAAGGTATAACGCTTCGAGTCGACAAGGGCTTAGGGAGGACTTGCGGTGTATGTTCTGCTTTAGGCTTAGAGCCTGCAGTTAGGTGGGGTTTAGGGTTGGGTGTAGGGTTGGAAGTACAACTTAAGGTTACTCAAAACAAGGGCACGCGCTGCGTTATAGGGTTTACTGCTTGCTTGCGAAGGGCTTGCGTGTGAGCCCTGGCCGCCAGCACCATCCCACCATCCAGTGGCAGCTCCAACGGCCCCGACCCCTGTCCGCACACGCCAGCCCCCCCCCCCCCTAGCAGACCATACCATTGGGGGGGGGGGGGGGGGGGGGGGGGCTGGGAACGCCAGACGCCTGACCATATATGCCCTTGCTCCTAAACTCTCACCCCCAACCTCCGCTATCTTCTCGAGTGCTCCAAGGCGGCCGCCGGGGTGGAGGCGGACAGCGAAGGCGCCAGAAGACCAAGGCGCCTCGGCAGAGGTCTTAGACTTACCTTTGGTTAGTAGGGAATGGAAGAATGGTAGTAATGGTAGTTGTAGTTGTACCCCGTTCCTCCATCCCCTACTAACCAAAGGTAAGTTAGACGGGTCTACGAGTGCTCCATGCGAGCTACGGTAGGGTTTCAAGTGCAAAGGGGCCGGAATAATGACCCATCTTCCGCCTTGGGGTTTCCTGTTGTAGGAATAGTATAATAACACGTACCCCAAGACCGTGTTCTAACTATGAAGGTCCCTTGCTTGATTGGTGTTATTGCCGGCCCTGTCGTGGTTATGATTGCATACAGTGATGTCGTTGAGGCTCGGCAGTGAAGTTTGCGCTCAGTTTGGTTGGTGCTGGAGTCCGCCAGGATGTGGTTCAGAACCTCAAGGTCACACTGGAGCAGCTGCCTGGCCTATAAGTTCCGCCAGGTCTGGACATGCCAAAGTATTACTATACCATATCTTACAAATCCATACCATACAATACCATTCGATAGCATGGACACAGACCTTGGTCAGGTTTGTCCTTCACAGAATTACAGGCCGGGTACACGGCCCTGTCTGTTGTCCAAGAAAGTCTATAGGTCTTGGTCCCATACATGTTGTCACAAGACCCTAAATCGTGAACCCTGAAAGTAAACAGCTGAGCATGCCAAGGATGTATGTCGGCGCCACCAAGAAGATGGCCATCACTCGCCAGGCTGGTTGGCAAAAAAGTCGATTTGCTGTCAAAACAGCCACCGCTACCATCGTCCTTATCACTAGCCGCATTGACGAAGGCATGATATCGGAATCATGACATTAGGAATAGTAACAAATGCCACAGGAACAGTAAAGCAAAGCCAACGCTAGAGGTGTGACCATTTCTTTCATCATGAGCGATACAAAGGTCATCGACAAGAAGAAGGGCGTCCAGGAGTGTCGGGAATGCGACGGCCGCGGCGTGAAGGTCGAGGTCGTGCGCATGGGGCCGCTGGGCTGTAGTGCAGGTCCAGAAGTCTGAAGGTCCAGGAAAAGAGGAAGAACCCTACAGTAGAAGCCAGAAAGTTGGAGCATGAGTTTAGGAGGCTTAGTGCTAGGATCCCTTATCCTTTTCCTTAAGGGCATGAGAATACTAATGTTCCAACTTTCTGGCTTCTACCATAAACCCTAAACCGTCAGGAATCAAAAACAAAGCAGGCCTCTAAAATCGAAACGAATTTGGACAACTGAGGCCGATGATTCAGCAGATGCGCCTTGGCTTGTGGACAGTCTTTGAGAGAGCTGGGCCATGGGCATCCACTGGGTTCCTATTGGTATCTGACGCATTTTTCTGGCAAAGAAACTGCAAGGAAAGGTTGGGATTGATCTTTGGACTTAAAATGTCCACCCCGAGCCGCTGAACACTGACCCAAAGCTCGGATAAGCTGTAAAGCCCCACACCCCTGGTGCCCGAACCCTAAACCCGCCGCCCGCAATGCGTGCGAAGAATCAGGTCCCTAAAACCCTCCGAACCCTGGAATCCCTAAACCCTAAACCCTAAACCCTAAACCCTAAACCCTAAACCCTAAACCCAAAGGAAGATCCCAGCCCTGGAGCCCCTGCCTGGAGCCCCTGGAGGCAGTCGCAGTGCCACTCTTGCGGAGGTCAGGGCAAGAGCTTCCAGACGAAGCAGGAGAGGGAGGTGCAGAGTTGGGTTAGGGTACAGGGCTTCAGGGTATAGCATTCAGGGGTTCAGGGTTTCGGGCTAAGATGGTCTGTGATGATCGCAGATGCTGTTCGTAACGATTGCACCGCAGTTTTCGGTACTGATGCCGCTCTTACCTCTTATTCCGACCAGTTCTTGTTACTACTGTTATTACTTTTGCTATTTTGCGGGTTTTGACTTAAACCTCACGGTGGACATGGCAGAAGTTTTGCGGCACGAGCCTGCGAATTTCTACAGTTCTGCAAGCTTCCATCAAACTCAGTAAGGCGGACCGCATATCTGATCCGTGTCTTGCATCTTTGCGTCGACAGGTGCTGGAGGTGCACGTGCAGAAGGGCTCGCCAGATGGCCACAAGGTGCGAGACACCTTTTTCCGGAGTCGACGGATGGACTAGAGAGGAGCACCGATTCCCGGGGACTGGAGCCGCGCAGGTCACCTTCAGGGAAATGGCAGACGAGCACCCGGATGCGGATGCTGGAGATGTGATCTTCGTGCTGAAGCAGCAGGCAGGGCCGGCAGAGCCAGGACTGAGAACTCCTCCGGGGCCCCGCCGAGCCTCTCAGGAGCACGCCGACTTCAAGAGGAAAGGCGCCGACCTCTACGTCGAGCGCAAGATCTCCTTGGTCGAGGCCAGCCGGAGAGAGACAGGGATTTGAAGCGTGCACGCATCCGATCATCCCGACACCCTCTGCCTCTTTGTTGCCAGGCCCTCTGCGGCTTCCAGATGGAGCTCACGCACCTGGATGGTCGGAAGCTTCTCATCAAGACCCAGCCAGGCGCGGGCCCCGAACCCTCTCAGAGCAGTTTCGCGTCTGTTTTCCATCTCTGTCTGAGAGGTGAGATCGTGAAGCCCATGTCCCAGGGCTTCGACCCTCTCGCCAAAGAGGCCCCTGGGCTTGGCTTCGCTTCGCCTCCTGTGCCCGTCACCACTTGCAAGCGCCAGGAGAGCAAGACCGAGTGGGAGGTCATCGAGGATGCAGACTGCCCCTCCGTAGAGAACGTTGCGCAGGCCAGGCCTTTGAGATGGCATTCTTCTTCGCGGCACTTTGCTTTTCCAAACTGAGCCCAGCTAGGCGGACACAACGGACATCGACACGCTGAAGAAGGCGTGCGAGACCCAGCTCAAGCGCCCGGGGCCAAGTGCAAGTGCTCCGGTCTCGAGATACAACCTGCAAGTTACACTGGGGCGTACTTTGACTACGCTGCTACAAAACTCTACCATACCATAGTGGTGTGAAACTTGAAATATGATATTGGGCCGGACTTCCTGTCAGCTCGCAAGAGATCCCGCAAGCAACGTGCTGAAGAGCCATAGCTACAGTGCAGCTACAGGCTATGGGAGTTTCGGAAATCGAACTTTCTTAAGACTCGAGACTGAGCAGGGACTGTGCACCGCGTGGCCGAGCGTAGCCGTCGAATCGCATGCTGTGCAAGTTTGAGGGCGTGCCAGTGGGGTAAGGGGAGGTTTCGGAAGTGCAGTCCCAAGGAAAGGGCATCGATGTGGGGTGCTTCGTCGTCGATGGCCAGCGACGGGGCCTTAGTCAAAATGAGACTTGGCTTGAGAAGCCTCCCATAGATCGCTGCAGCTCCCAGGTGCCTACTTCAAGCAGTGCTCTCGCGAAGAGGCTCTAGCAGCAACGTGCTTAGACGTCGGACTCTGCAGCTATTTGTAGCATTGCCGGAGTTCCGCCGCAACCGAGGCCAAAAAGACTCGTCGTGGCAGCACGATGCGGCTTGGCTGCTTATGAAACTTGCAACGTCCCATGGATGGTGAAGCTGCTGAAGTCTTTCCGGGAAAGAGGCTGAGCAGTCGGTGTCTTGCAGGTACGTCCTCCCTGATCCAGACGCTGCTTGGGAGCAGAAGAGGGAGAAACTTCTTGGGAGGTTTTGGGCAGCAGACGGAGCTTCTGGAGCTGAAAGCTGGCCGTCAACCGAGGCCAAGAAGTCCTTCCGCATGATGAAGGCGCCATGACAGCAGCATCCCTTCGTGCATGGCATTTCGTGACTTTCGGGTCGGGAAGGAGTTGCAAAGGGGTGGGTGAACAGAAGGCTCCGGCAGAAGTCGCGGGAAGTCAGCTTCGGTCTCTTCTGTCCTCATCGGCGTAAGGCTGTCAAGGATGAGGGCATGCCCACCTACAAGAATCCGCCTCTCGGCAGCACAGTAAGATGGTGTTACTTGACTTCACTTCGGGAAAGCCCACGAGACCCCATCCAGCTCTCGCAAGCAGCACCAGATCAGGTTCGTCCACGGCAGTCTCTTCCTGATCCTCACCATTGAGCCAGGGCCCTGAGCATCTCTCCGGCTGTAGCTTTGTGTATCAGATGGCTCTTGGTGAAGGTTTCCGGACATGCTCTCTCCAGAGAACCAGACAGTGGCTTGCCTGAAGTTTCCAAGTGTCCTGTGAATGTCCCTCTCGTGTGCACGAGTCTCGCAAGACAGTGCCTCATTATCATGATCATGGTAGCCCCTTAAAGCTACCACCCCAAAACCCTAAATCGTTAACCCACAAACCCTAAACTCCGAACCCTAAAGATCCCACAGGCTGGTAGCAGCAGTCAGACCTATCATCTTGCGACCCTGGGCATCATCATCACAGGAGAAGAGCACAAGTCAGACCCCTCACCGTGCATGACCTTGTATCAAACTTCAAGCTTCAGATCCACCCAGATGATGGATGGTAGCTGGTAGTGATGAAGGTAATCTGTATCCTACCAGGCTATGGCAAAGCTGCTGCCACCGCCACGACCTCAGTAGACTTGCCAGACGGCCACGAGACGCCCAAACTGGAAGTCCTCCTCTGATGAGCTGCCAGGCCGCTGAACGTGCCGAAGTGGACGGAGGTGGCCCCCTTGTTCGTACGCCGAATAAATCATTAAGCTGTTAAAATCAGATAAGTTGACATCCATCCATCCATCCATCCACCCACCCACCCACCCACCCACCCACCCATCCACTAAGCCTGCGCATATAGTCTTCGCGTCGCCTCAAAACCTGAACCTAAACCCTGAGGCTTAAACGGCAGAGCTCGTCGTAAATATTGGTTAATACACAGAACAGAAAGATACATAAATGGTCAGATAGATAGACAGAGAGAATAGCAAGGGTCTCCTCCTTGTCGGCTTGGTTCTGGTGCCAGGACGACAAGGATGTCGAAATTCACACTGTGACCGACATCGACCCAGTTCAGTCCTTCAACTCAAACAAGGTTCGTCCTCCGGTAGAGCCGGCCGTGGCTCACACTTGAGCTGATGCATCCATTTCCCTGTGGCTTGCTTTTGCTTTGCATGATTGATGATAATTATAATTTGCTTCGAGTAGGATTTCAACATGGTTCCAACCTAAAGCCTGCAGCCCGACGCCGTACGACCTTGCTTTCCAAGCGCAAGTCCGGATGTGCATGCCACGCATGATATTCGCAGGTAACCTGGCTTGTAGTGGCGTTGCCCTGACAAGTGTTCGCGCAGGTCAACATGCAAGCGGGCGGTGAGGCCTACGACGACGATGAGGAGCGGACGAGCGGAGGGCGAGTGCTAAAAGAACGAGCCTTGGCACCGGCCTTGGAGCAGATTCGAGTGTCGCTCCTAGGAGGATGGTCCTCGTGGGGGTCCTGGTGGACCTGGTGTGCAGTGCCATCAGCAGTGAGGCCGGAAGCTCAGGGATTCCCATGAACCCCCATGCCGTCCGGCAAAGGCGTCGTCACCTTCAGTAGCTTCTAGACTCCGGAACCGCTTTCAAGGGGTCCTTGTGCTCGCAGAAGTCGATGTTCACATGCCCTCCAGGATCAAACTCTCAGAGTCCTCTCGATGCGCTGATCATTGGGTGGCCCCTCCAAAATCCGAGCTTGCGGCGCCCTTGGTGTTCAAAAGGGAGAGGGAGTGTTTCGGGCTCAGACTGTCCAAGGGTCGCAGACGGATTTTGGTGGGCCGAGCAAAGCTCTTTTTTGTGCCGGTCCGGGCATCAAGCGGGAACGCATTGCCAGAGAAGCATCTGGCTGCTGTGGCCCCCGTCCGAGGACTCGACATAGCAGCATAGCAGATTCAGATGCCAAAGCCAGTACAAACATAAGGGGTCATTCATGTTTATGCACCTGCCAGTCACTTGGCCTTCGGGCTCAGAACAGGATTGCTCTGATCCTGGCGACGGTAGCCTGACTTAAGCCTGTGCGGATCCAAGACAGCATGATTTAAGCAGCGCTCACAGCAGTTGCTGTCGTCTGCTGTAATGGTGCCCCTTAACCCAAAACCAGCTGGACCCTGATCGCATTCTAACACCCTGCACCCTAAGCCCTAAATCCCGGAACTCGGACGCTTCACCAGAAAAACCTAAAGCAAAAGCCCGAATGGTGTCTTAACAAAGGATCCGCCAGCAGGAGGGCTCAAATACAGGTCGCCTCAGAATGGCGCTTCAGCCGCCTTGCTCTCTCCGTTTAGGTGCTGGTTTTTGTCGTAGTTTAAGAAGTTTCTTTCGGTTTTTGGAGTCACTATTGGGTATTTCCGTCGTCACAAAGTACAACAGTAGCGAGAATTCTTCCGTGCGAACCAACAGCGGGCGGAGAGATCCCGATCTAGGTCGGGAGCTGCCACAAACCGAACTTCATTTGCACGCTTTGCACGCAAAGAGAGGCAAAACAATGGTGGATTGCTGTCATGCAGCTGACCTGCACGTGGACTAACAAGACTTGCCTGCGCGCATGTGCATGCATGTTGCCGGAGTGAGACCGACCGGTCCGTGACCTCGTGGCTCGAGCAGCTGATGTGCGCGGCCATCTTCGCCCTCTTCTTCGATGGTCCTGAGGTGGGGAGCTCAACACGCCGAGATCCGCACTGGGTCCGAAACGTAGCGGTTCCGTGTTCTGGCACCTTTCGGGCTCCCTAGGTCACGAGCTTTGCAAACTTGCCGTTGCCACGTGCCTCTGAGGCGCGCAGAGAACCAACTGGAGGTCGGGGGCCCGGGGCTGAAATGACAGAGTAAGGGACCAAGCATACTAGCACCCGAGCAAGGATCATCGCAACCCGCCGGAGGAATCCTGAACTGTTGCATGCGCATGTTACTTCGTCATAGTTGGGTAACCTTTTACATGTTTATGGGTACTTAAACCAAGGCATAGAAGTATAAATTTTCAATCCTATCCCAACCATGAACTAGGTTACTGGCATAGAAGTAGCCAAGCCATAGTCTCCAAGCTTCTCGCAGAGCACACGTCGTTTCGATCGACGGCACTATCAGCGACCCAGGCACCAGGGTTGTTCGGCGACAGTGGTCGCGCCGAAAGAACGGCATGGAACCCCGTACGGAAGGGATGTAATGGGATACTATCATGTGGAAACTGTATCATAAGTCTGCTTGGGTACGGCGGTAGCGCGCAGCTGCGGCTCAGACACAGGTTCCATGGGCCCTCCGCCTGCCAGGCACCAAAGGATGCAGGGGCAGGATGTGCAGGACATGAAGAACTGGGCCGAGCTTCAGGGGAAAAACGTCGAGAATGCGGCGATAGATGGCGTGCAGCCCAGCAACATCGTCAATGTAGAAGTCCGAGAGATGAACTGTGGGAAGGACGGGCAGGATGATGTGAGCCCCGGCGTTGGCACGCCAAGCGTTCGCCAAGCCTCAACTGCAATCCCCTGGTACATGTACATGATAGCAGCCACCGCCTCCTTGAACTCTATCGACTACGGCTTTGATGTTGGAGTCAGTTCAGGTGTTGCCCTGTACTTGCGAGAGGGCTTCGAACTGGGAGACGTGGAGGTGGGAATGTTCTTCTCCATTGTGCCCATCGCCGCAGCACTAGGAGCCATGGTTGCCCAGTCCGTTTCAGACCGCTTCGGACGAAAAGGCAACTTTCTGGCCACGCAGTTCGTCGGCATCGCGGGAGTTCTGCTTTGCGGCTTCTCGGTGAACTATGACATGATCTTGGTTGGCCGCTTCCTTGTAGGGATCAGCGTGGGGATCGGCATGTCCATTGACCCAATGTACATCTCCGAGACTGCGCCTGCAGAACACCGTGGCAAGTTGACGACCTGGGCTGAGATGTCCGCTAACTTCGGCATCATGCTTGGCTTCTTCTTCAACTGGCTCTTTAAAGACCTCCCAGAAAATGTGAACTGGCGCGTGATGCTACTTTGTGGGGTGTTCCTTCCGACTTTGCTCATCATCTTGACGCTTACCGTCATGCCCGAGTCGCCCCGGTGGCTGATCACCAAGGGCAGGACGGAGGAGGCCAAGAGCATCTTAAGAAGAACACACTCCCAAGGTACAGATGTTGATGAAGTGGTGAAGGCCATCGTGGAAGACATCCAGCAAGCAGAAGTGCAGCGAGCTACCACGTGGAAGAGTGTCCTGTGCCCTCCACGACAGTATCGCCATGCGGTGTTGTTGGCCTTCTTCATGGCTGTAGCTCAGCACATCTGTGGCGTGGACGGCGTGATTTTCTACGCGCCCACGCTATATGAGCGAGCTGGTGTTGCAGACACCAAGCAGGAGCAGTTCACACTGACAGTCACCATGGGGATTGTGAAAGTGATCTTTATCGGCGTTTCCATGGCCTTGCTGGATTCCGTGGGAAGGCGGCCCTTGCTCCTTTTCGGCAGCCTTGGGACGGCTCTGAGTTTGGGAATGATTTGTGTGGGCTCCATTCGTGACTTGGAGGTTGGTGTCCTCGCCGTGATGGGGACATTTTCCTTCGTTGCTTGCTTTTCGATTGGCTTCGGACCTGTATGCTGGCTCTATGCCGCGGAACTCTTTCCCTCAACCCTTCGCTGCAAAGGGATGTGCCTCTGCGTCCTACTGAATCGGGGAGCCGCCGCCTTCGTGAACTTGTCTTTCTTTCCCTTGTCCAATCTCCTGGGGGGACAGGCCGGGCTGTTCGGCCTCTATGCTGCTATAACAGCTCTGGTCACTGTGGTGGTAGCTTTCACGGCCATCGAAACAAAAGGCAAGTCCTTGGAAGAGATTTCGGGGTCGAAGAGCACCAAGAGCCTTGATAGTCAGGTGCCTGAGATTCTGTGACCTCGGCCTCTCAAGCAACCTGTCGTATAGCCTCTGGTTTGGGGTAGATCACGGTCACGCCCTGATAAAGCAGGGATCAACCGTCGGTCGCCCCAAGCACCATACCCTTCCATACCCTAAGCAAACTACCCCTGACCCCTCAGTCCCCTTTATGTTCTCATGGCTCAGGGCTGGCTAGGTTCGCGCGAGCCGCCGCACCTAAGCGCGGCCTGAGCTTTTCTTAGATCCGGGCATCCTGATGAATCAGGACTTGCTGTAGCGACCTAGCCAAAGTGATTAGGTTCTGGAGCATGGTCATTCTCGTTGTGTTAAGGAAAATGATAGCTTGATTTGATCATTCAGGTCCCTGCAGTGATCACATGCACCGGCGACCTCATGTTTAAAGTCAGGCTGCCAACCGTGGTTGCAGCCGCGGCACCTCAGTGTAGCTGCAAACGTCGAGTGTCATTTAAACCACAGCTTACGAAGGCCATTCTAGATTCTAGGTTCTATGTTAGATGATTGTAGTTAATATGTTGTTCTAGGAAACTGCATGGCCTGCTATGGTCATCCATTCCGTCATTCACTTCTCCGAGCCAGTGCGTGGTGTCTCCTAGTTTCAGGCTGGGGCCTAAGGGTTAAGCGCAGCTCGAGGTGCCACCAGCTGTAACAGGTAGGTGTGGCCTGTTTCTGCAGCGAGCGGGCAGGTCCTGATGAAGCAGGACACGCTTTCGGATTGCTGCATGTGGCGTTCTGGTTTTAATTATGGCCCAGGGCTGCAAGGGCTGCGGCTCCTTGGCGGCTCCTCGAAGAATAGGCTGCGAAATGTGTGTGCCAAAAAGCTACCAGTCATTCAACTGAAGCTGTGCGGAGTCCTCTTTCCAATCTTAACCACTGCTAGACAGCGACTGATACCCTTGCCTTCGAAACTGGTACCGTCTTCAACTGCCCCAGGGCTTCGTGCGATACATCGTGCTCTAAAGCAGGACATAAGCCTGAGCACTATCATAGTCGGGAAACCCCGATGCTTTGAACCAGCTTTTTGTTTAACTGAAGTCTTGGAATCCACTTCAAAATCCCGCCTCTTAGCAGTTGCCAGGCAAAGATGCCGTGCCTGGCTAGTCCGCGTTCCATGTAGAGCTTGTCTGAAATGCAGCCATATCCTCCATAGGCCTGCTAGTAGCAGTCTCCAACTCCCATGGTCGACAGTCAGGATTCCATTTGGGGAAGTGTGATGGGGACTATACGAAATTTGGGGACGCCTGAGTTGGGAGACTACAATGACTACAAAATACTTTCGCATTAGCATCGCGCGTTTCTGGGGAGTGGACCGCTGTGGGGGGTATGCATCTCTCGTGCAAGACGTGCTGTAAAGCCACGCTACAAGATTTGTCAGCGCGTCGGCAGACACGCCCCATACAACTGTACTTATCAGTTCTCTCATGAACCCTTTCATTTCATTATTGGGACTCCCTGGCCAAACGCACAAATTCTTTTGCTCGCATGTCGAAGTCATGTGTAAATCCAGCCAACCCTCCTGCAAGACTCGTGTTCTCACAAACGGTCTCTAGATGGGTCATGGGGACGCTTCTCGTGAATCCGTTTTCTGCTTGGAGTTTCCGGCATGAGCTGTCATGTTATATGCGAATCCTCTCGTG